GGCAAGATTTTCTCATTTTTTCCTGGGGCCTCAACCAAATGGAAGGTACTTGTTTTTCTCAGCCACAGCCAACTGGGGCTTGACCATTTAAGTTTTTTCCTGGGTTCTTTGGGCAACTGAGGCCACAGCCAACTGGGGCTTGTAGATGGATTACCTCTGTTCTTGGGCAGACCAAGCCTGTGCAGTTCCCCCACGCGGAGCCCACCAGAGGGCCCTTTTTAGAGGAACATATTTTTAGGGGTTGATTCCTTTTCCTGGGGCCACCGAATGGAAGAGGAGGGGACACGTTACCGGCAAGCTTAACCAAATGGAAGAGGAGGACCAAGATGTAACCAGGAACCAGCAACCAAGATATTTGGTCCATTTAGTTTCCCCTTTTTGGTATTTGTTTTTCATTTTTGGTCAGTTTGTACCTCCTTTTTGGGGCTCTTTGGGCTGAGGGGACATCTTTGGTGCAGTCCCGCCCCGCCCTTTTTTGAATCGGAGGCGCAGTGGACCACGAGCTGCCGTTGGCGGACAAGCTGCGGAGGGACGGGGACCGCTCCCGGAAGGTGGCGCCCATCTTCCACACCGCCAAAACGGGCGGGGAGAAGGAGAGCCTCAGCGGCCCCAGGCGTTGTTTTTTTTGTTGCTTAGTTTGTTTGAATTTATACCTTCCCCTGTTTGGTTTTACCGTTTTGTTTTTTGCTTAGATATTGTTTGAATCGATTTTCCCTGGTTGGTTTTACAGGGGCTTTTTTTTGTTGCTTTGGTTGTTTGAATCGATTTGCCCTGGTTGGAATTTCAAGATTTTTTTTCTTCTTTTTTTTTCTTAGGTTGTTTGAATATATCCCGTTGTTGGTTTTAGAGGGAACCTATCACAATTGAACATATTTTTCCCAGGGAGTCTCACCGGCGAGTCAAGGTTTTGAACGTTTGGTGTTCCTATCTTGGCGTGACTCAAACTCAGCTGACCTTTTGACCTTTCGACCTTTTGGCTTTCCCTTTTAGAGACCCAAGGCAAATTGACCGGATTTGAGCATTTGGTTTTCCTACTGCGTGCCGGATTTGGTTCGCGGAGGTATTTCGGTGTCTCAACTAAGGAATGTGGGCGAGTCCCCACAGGCCTCGCGCCTTGGGGGTGGAGGGGGAAGTTGCGGAAGTCTTCGGTTTCATTTCTGCGTGCCATTTTTCGGTACTTACTTGCCCAACGCCGAGCTTTTGACCTTTTAGTGTTCCGGGTTTGGTCTTAGTCATGACCCCAAAAGGTTAACCTTTTATTTTCAGGTCCTTTGGGCAAGTGAGCTTTTGTTGAGCCACAGACCGGGGCTTGTAGATGGATTACCTCCGTTTTGGTAGACCAACAAGCCTGTGCAGTTCTTTCAGGACTCCCCACCAACCAGCGCCGAACCCACCAGAGGGCTCTTTTTACTTGGTGGCTCCCAGCCATCCCCTTAGCTTTTTAACCTTTTAGTGTTTAGTGTTTAGTGTTTAGTGTTTAAAAGTTACACTTTTAGCGGGGGATCTGAGGGCAGCCCAGTTTAGAGGAACATATGTTTTGGGGATGTGGAGGAGGCTGATGAAGTACCATCAACCATGACCCATTGGCCCATAGTCAATGTGGATGGAACAAAGGCACGACGACGAAATCAAGCACCCACACAGTGAACCACGCATGTCCCACATCCATGACGAGGCAGCTATATATTTTGACAGACAGATTCCGCCTCCAGTTCACATTATATGAGATAGTTGCCCGAAATCCATGTACCCACTTGCAAGCCATATGCCCGCAGGCTTCTTCGGACCCGAAACCGTTCAAGCGCACCGAAGTATGCCTCCTTTTGGCATGTTCCCTGCATCCACTAAAGCTGGAGGCAGGCCAGTTTGAATGCCTGTTTCTTGGAGCGGCTACCCATTGATCTGCCCGTTGAGGCTTAGGTGATTGAAGCCTTGGTTCTTGTCGACGGCAAATGGGAACCACCCCTGGAAGCTCCAAACCACTGATCCAAGGCACCAAGAAGAGGAAGGGTCTGAGGGTTTTTGCATTACACCCTGGGATTACACCCTTGGGAAATGACCCATGCGTCAACATAACACGGTTTGATCCGGAAATTGCCCAAATGCGGTCAATACCCAGGTGTATCCCTAGGGTGTAATACAAAAAAACAAAAACTCAGAAAGGGAGATCTGGGAGAGCGTGATGAAGGCTGAGCTCGGTTTGGGCTCAGCTGTCCTGACGTGCCGCCTCCGCTTACGAGACTTTCGACGGCACCTCTTGGAGGCTCAGGACCCCCATGTTGAGCTTGCTCTTGAGCCAAAAGGACAACCAAAAGGCCGTTGTTGGAGGTTCACCCACTCACTCCCCGAGTTTCTGGAGTTTATACTTTTTGGGTTTGGTTGCCATTTGAGTGGGAAACAAGAAGTTTGGTTACTTTTTGGTCAATTTATTTGATCGGGAGTGAGCCCATGAGGCGACGCCAGATCTTGCATCGGAACTCGGGCGATCTCGAGCGAATCCGCGCGAATCGAGGCAGCCGGGGATATCTCTGGGAGCGCGGTCCAGGCAGCGCTGACACACGGCGATGCGATTTTTTGGGGCATGGCACAGTCAATTGCTGCAGACAGTCGGATGCCCTCCGACCCATTCACATGGAACCTGGTGGAAGGATAACTCCTCATTGGTGGTGTGGATTCGTGGTTTGGATTTGAATTTGAACCCCTGGTCCCTGGTTCTTGCAGAGGGTAAATGGGAAACTGTCCTTAACCACCAAACCACCAGGCTCCAAGCTGTTTGGGGTGTGTGCTTTTTACAGGGGTACTCGTGTTGGGTTCATGCAGCCCGCAAATTTTCGCGCTGACCATTGTTGTTCTTCAAAGAAAAACCGAGTGCTCCTACCCTGCTGAAAGCTCCGTGGTTCAAAACTGTCCTTTTGACCTTTTGCTCAATTGTTCAGTGGCACCCTGTTTCCCTTTTTTTTGGCGGCTGCCCCACTAAAATTGGTCTTCCCCAAAAAGGGTTCCCTTTGTTTCCAGGGTCACTGAACAACTGAGTTTGGTTTTCCATTTTGGGTAGGTGCCAAAAGGTTATCATGTTATTTCCAGGTCTTTCGGGCAAGTGAGAAGATGGACTCAAACCCAAAAAGGGGTGCAATGATTTCTCCAGCGTCACTGGATCACTTGGATCCCCCGTCCAAAGAATCGTTTTTTGTTTTTTTCTCCAGCTGTTTTCGATCAATTGAGGATCCCTTGTAAAGCAGTTGGATTTTGGATGTATTTGTTGGGGCACCCTGTTGAAGCTCGGTGATTCATATCACCGCCGTTTTCTTGCATATTAAGTTATATGTGTTCCTTGTTGTCACACCGCGGGAAATTGCACATTGGGTTGAACACTATTTTCCACCTGAGTGGTTCTTCGAACCCATTCTGTCTCACTTCCTGAGTTCGTATAGACTTCTTATTTTCTACAATGGTTGGACCATTTTACTGACAACACCAAGTTGTTCGACTTTTTGGGGTCGGAACTGGAAGATTTTACGACTCCCTTCCAAGGACAGAAGTCTCCGCAGACAACCCGGAGACCACCATGGGCACCCCCGTGTCCAAAGGCGTAGGCGGGTGCTTCAGAGGGGAGGCTGAACTTAAGTAAACCAAGCGTACCACGAGAAACCAGAGATACCACGTGTAAAATGATGGCATATTCAAGAATCTGTCTGCTGGATATTTTTTGTTTGCGGGGGGAATGATGCGATTTGTTTCATATTGCAAAAGTGTTCTCCACTTTGTGCACGGGTTGAGCCATCCAGAATCGGTTTCCTTGTTCCCTTGCTTGCAAATGTCAGGCCATCCACCGGAAAAAGACCCAACGTGTATTGGTTGTGGGGGTGTGTTTTTAGACCAACTTGAGCAGGGTGTGATTATTCTGCCCAGCACTGTGCATTACATCCAACAACGCTGGAGGTGCACAGGCCTAAAAAAAGATGATGTTTGTGTTTCACAACTCTCCTCACTTCCATGCTTACGAGGAGAAGCTACTGGACGAGTTCCATCACATTATTCTTGTGTTGGCATGTTTGCCTCGCAAAACTGAAGGAGGGCAAAGCACCCGGTCTGGGGCATTGTGCTGTGCCCCCGCTTCCCCCCAACAAAACAAACAACCAAACAACAACACAACACATTTAAGCAATGGAAAGCATGAATTGCCCGCCATTATTATGCATGGTAGGGTTGCAGCTAGAATTTGCCGGGGGGGGGGGGGGGAAGACAAAACAGTTTTTTTCAAGGGCTTGGGAAGTGAAGCTCTGACTTCCCCAAACCTGGATCTGTTTTGAAGCGACGCTTCATTATCAGCTTCGCTCTATTTATTATTATTTTTCTTTAGTATCATATATATATATATGTATCGTGTACAGAATGTATATTTATATGTGTATATGTATGTGTATATGCATAGATATTTATACATGGATGGATATATATATATATATATGTACATGCATGGACCACAATCAAATGTATTCTGTTTTGCTCGGGGCGGAAGCTGATGTACAAGCGATTGGGCAAACTGGGAAACACGCCCCCCACGCCCACGCTAAATACCTGAGGTCGGCGCCAAATTCACAAAAGGGACTCTCCTTTAGCTAGTTGTTAGGATTTGACGGTGAATGTCCATGTTGCTCCGAGGTGAATCCAACCTTGAATCAACACATTTTCCCAAGAATCAACTTGAGACCTGTGCTTTTCCCATGGCAGCTCACGTTGACCCGGACTTGAGTAGAACTCGTCCTAGAAAGGGGGGCTTTCCATCCAAACAAAGTCAGAATCCCCACAAAGAGGACAGCTTTATATCAACATCAGTCAAGGCAAAAGCCTCCCCCCTGCAGAAGGAACCATGTGAGGCGCTGGTTTTCTCGGACCCCGCCAGCTTCCCATGGCATGCCCAAGCAAGCGCCTTTCTTTTCGCCAGCGTTGCAAGCGCAAATTTGTTGGATGGTGTTGAGCAGGTCAACAGAGAGCTATCTCATTTTCAGCCCCCTGCCTCCCCTGCTCTGCCCCCCCCCCCCTCCCCCCCCCAAAAGAGACAAAACAGAAGAAGACCCCCTCCCCCTAAAAAATCACACTGCGAGACCTTTTGGACAGCGCCAGGCTTAGCCAAGACCTGGGGTGAAGGACGACTGATACGCACGGAGGAGGACAAGGACAAGCCGGAGCTGGTGGTTTTCAGCCAACCGGCGCCTCGCCGCGTTGAAGTCAGTCACAATGACACACGAGTTCCCTTCTTTCCGCCTGTTTTTTTCCCCAGAAGCTGTTCAAATCCGACCTTTTGACCACTTGGGTTTCCCTTTTTGGGTCGTTTTTAGTAGAGGTCTTTCAAAGGTGAACCTTTGATTTTCAGGTCCTTTGAGAAAGTGAGGTGTAGGAATCCTCAAGTAGAGCTCAAGATGGCATTATATAACCCTAGCGATCGTGCGGAAGCGTGTGTGGTGCGGAAGCTTCGTGTTGGCATGTGTCATGGCTTTTCTCTTGACTGCTACTGGGTTGGATCTTTAGACTTTAGAATTTTGGGAAACCAAGTTGGGTTTTCCACTAAACCCCCAAACAGTTAAACACTTTTTGCAGGGGTCAACAGTGAACAGCAACTAAGTTCTGTGTGGATCCGCGGGGGCTCGAAATCCGAATTACACAGATGCTGGAGGCCGGCAGCTGCAAGAAGAAGGGCTAACCCTTCTCATTTGAGATCACGAAAATGAGAGGTTTGGCACCGTAATGTTGGCCCAGGATTAATAAACCCCTTCTATTATTAGGGGGGTGGTCCCTCCAAAAGTGGTCCGAATCCCCACTAAAAGGGGACACCCCCCTATTAATCAACCAGGGGTTTACTAGTGCGGGGTTAACATTAAGGGGGCTAAGACATGCTAAAACAACACACACACACACATGATCACCTTGTGATCATGACAAGCTGATTTAAAGTATCCCGCACCCCCATTGGAATCACGCATCCCCTTGCAGCTAGGGTTGGCAAAGCTTTTTGCAGGTACGGTTCGCATTTGAGTGCAGTGGCATAGGAAAAAAGACTTCCTGCAAGCAGTGCCAAGCCTGTTTGACAAAAGGAGCACTGACACCCCTATGGATTCTATGGGTGGTTTCGACCCTCCCTTCAACAGGCACTTGATGTTCCAGGTACCCTCCCACAGTTTGTACGTTAGTGGGAGGAAGGGTATTTGAAGTGGTCGGCTTTGCGCTTTCCACCGGTAGAAGTTCCATTGGGTGCAGTTCATCCACATGACTGGTTGTACCCCTGAATTTGCAAACTCGGGAAACCAACCGTATGTAGATGAGTCTCTTTTGAAACAGGGATTGTCTCTAACTTTGGGGATGCCTAAAATGGTTTTTTGTTTGTTTCCTTTTGCAACAGGTGTTCCCAAAACAGACACCCAGCAATGGCAAAGTCTTGCTGGTGCGAGGGGAGGGAATGAGAAACGGAATGACCTCCCCCCCAAAAAAAAGCAATCCCCTTTTCGTGTCTTTCTTCGGGAATCCCCAGGTTCATTCCCTAATTTCCAGCCAATCGCATTGGTTCAGGTAGCCCCTATTTGGTGGGTGGTTTGGGGATTTGAACCCCTGCTTGCAGATCCCTGAGCCACCAAACCACTAATCCAAACCACCAATTTCAGGTAACCCCGACTTGGTGGTCTGGATTGGTGGTTTGGGGATTTGTACCAATGGTTCTTGTGGAGGGTAATTGGGAAACCCCTTCTCAACCACCAAACCACCAACCCAAAAGCACCGATTCGGGGGAAGCTGACAATTGGAAGGAAGCTGAAAAGTGTTCCGAGGCTGGCGCACCTTTCCCCATCGGCCGCGGGAGCAGTTGCGAGCTCACGCTCGCTGGCATCACTGGCATCAGCGTGCAACACTGCAGTCTGCGACTCGAGGATGGTGAGCCAGCCACTCGCAGACGTCAAGCACCGAACGGGTAGGTCTATCGGCCCCAAAAAATCCGGGAGACGGGGTGCCGGGAAATGCTTCAGTCAGGCAACCCGAGGTGAAACTAGGCAGACCCCCGTAGGGCAGTGAAGAGGGTGAGAAACTGAGATGGGGAATTGTGCCAATTCACATCTGGAAGGAGCCTGCTTGTGATCGATTCAACAGCTCAAATAAAGAGATCCCCCACATATATCCAGCGTGCCAGTGGTACTCCCCCAAAAGAGTGTTTGCGCGAGTGCTCGCTTAGGGGATTCTTCGGGCCGTGTAAAGGAGGGGTTTGACTTGCTGCTGCTCAGGGAATGAGGGAATGAACCTGGGGATTCCATTCAAGGAACCCACAAGTTGGATGTTTCCTCTCGGGTCATTCCTCTCATTCCGTGCCACCAGCAAGTTTGGTTTGTCGCTGGGAAGCCTCGCGAAAGTGATGTCCAGGGCCGGGGCAGTTGATTTCCCCCGACGGCTAATTTTGATCCCGGACAGAATTTACTTGGACCCAAAGAGTGTGAGTCAAAAGCTGCTCAGTCCCTGCAAAACCTGCCTCAGTGGCTGAGGCACTGAATGAGGCACCCACTTTTCGTGTTGATTTTTCCGCCGTGCCTACTGAACCCAGTTTTCCCGCCAGGGTTGGGCAAGCTGAACAGCCAGACGACCTTGGACAGGGAAGCCCAAAGGTTGTTTCAAGAAAAGGTGTCTGCGTCAACCTTTGGGAGCTTACCATTTTGCGCATGACGAAAGCCCAAGATCATGCTGTGGATGAACGAAATTCTGCGCCACCGTTCAGAAACCCTGGTTTCTGATTCGGTTCCAGCGTAACACCCACGAACGTTCTGGTTTCAACCATGGTTTCATTTTGTGGTGCGACCTGGTCTTTCTCCATCCACAGGTTGAAGCCTGACCAAGTTGAAGCATCCTGTAAAACTCCTGAACCCTAATTACACCCTCCCAAACCCTTAACCCTAAACCCCAAAACTCCCAAACTCCCAAACCCTAAAGCCCCCAAGCCCTAAACCCTAAAACCCCCAAGTCCCGTGGAGTTTTCCGAGTTGCTGTCGGACACCTCCTTGAACGGGACCTACGTGAACGGGGCTCTGGTGGGCAAGGGCAATGAGAGAGTGCTCCCCACCGGCGCTGCAGCTTGGCGGGGATCGAACCGGTTGGCTTCCATTTGCTGAATGGATGTTTTTTTTCCCTGGTTTTACAGGGAACCAATTTCACTGGGCATATGTTGTGCTCATTTTCTCCGGGGGGCTAAGAAGCAATTGGAAGTTGCACGCGGGAGGACCTATTGCCACGGTGTGGCAAAAGAAAGAAAAGCAAAACCAGAACCAAAACCAAGGGCCATTCAAATGTGTGTGGTGCCACAAGCAAAGATACTGTAGACCTTGATAAAGCTTTATAACCGTCTTGGTGGAACCAGGGACCACTGGGTTTGGGGCACTGCTCCATTAGGTTTGAGGGCCAAGTTCCATGAATCCACTCGTATCCCAGAACCGATCGTTGTTCATTTGTTATTTCCTCTTTTGTTTGCTGTAGTTGTTTGTTTTGTTTGTGCCTGCCCGTTCGTCTGCCTCTCTGTTTGTCTCTATGTCTCTCTCTCTGTCTCTCTCTCTCTCTCTCTCTGTGGTTGGGTTGGGGCGGGGCGGGGTGGGTTGGGGTGGGTTGGGCAGGGTGGGGTGGCTATGGTTGGTTGCTTAGTTGCGGTTTTGATGTGTTTTGTTTTGTTTTCATTTATTATTATTTTTGTTTGTTCGTCCGTTTGTTTGTGTGTGTGTTTGTTTGAATATGTGATTGTGGTTTTGTTTGTTTGTTTGTTTGTTTGTTTGTTTGTTTGTTTGTTGTGTTTGTTGTGTTTGTTTGTTTGTTGTTGTGTTTGTTTGTGTGTTGTTATTCGTGTTTGTTTTCTTGTATGGTGGCTTGTGTGTTTTTGTGTGTTTGCTTGTTTGTTTGAATGTGTGTTTATTTATTTGTTTGTTTGTTTGGTTGGTTGCATGAGTTTCCGTTTGTTTGGTTGGTTTGGTTTGTTTGTGTATGTTCGTGTGTTTGTTAGTTAGTGTGTTGTGTTTGTGTGCCTGCTTGGTTGTTTGCTTGCTTGCCTGCCTGTTTGTTTGCTTGCTTGCTTGCTTGCTTGCTTGCTTGCTTGCTTGCTTGCTTGCTTGCTTGCTTGCTTGTATTTGAGTTTGTTTGTTTGGTTTGTGTGTGTTTTTGTGTTTTGCTTGTTTCTTATTTTCATGTTGTTTCTTTGTTTGATTGCTTGCTTGTTTGCTTGTTTGCGGGTATTGTGCAGGACACCTTGCTTGTTTCGGGTTTGTACCTGGGGCTGAAGCCTCGACGCTGAATCGGAAGGTTGCTTCCAAGCCAATCCAAAGCCCAATATTTGAGTTGCTCAGTCAGAGTTGTTTATGTGTCGGTAATCTTTAGGGTACATGGGAAACTACCCTTAACCACCAAACCGCCAAGGGAAACCATCAATTGGAGGGAAGCTGATATTTGGCCCTAGCTTCTTACATCACGCGTTCTGCCAGTGTGTGATGTCGGCGCTTGGAGAACATCAGCTCGAGATCGGCGCTGGTAAGAGATGGCGCTCAATCAACAACTAAGAAGAACCATCAACAACTAAGAAGAAGAACAGTCAACAACTAACAAAACAAAAACAATCAAACACCAAAATTCCCAAAAGCAATCTCCGCAGGTAATCACCTTCATCAAGAACAAGCCCTACCCCCAGATGGTCTTCATCGCGAAGTGAAGGCCGTCGAGGCGTGGGATTTCCGGATGGAAAGATCCTGGCCGGTATGCGGCCCTGGCTCCTGGGTTGGCCTTTTGGCTTTCACTTGGGGAAAGTTCCGCCCAGCAAAACATGATTCACGGTCCTCTTTCTGAAACATGCAGTAAGCTATGGAGACCAAGCTGCAACCTCTTGATGCGACAGCAATTAACATGTACTCAGAGCGTCCGGCGTACTACAATATTTCGGCTTCCGGTTCGGGAGGTTTCTTCAACCCGGCCGGGTACAGTCCCCATCAGTTCCCGTAAAAACGCGATTCCGATATGCCCCTGAAACCGCTTGACTCTCGTCTGCTAACTGCGATGTGTGGTTGGATCACCTGAAGCAAATCCAGTAGACGTTTCGGGCGACATGGCGATTCCGGGGAGTTGGGAGGTGGATCCCTGGAGTCCCAACCTTGCCCCCCAGCCTTGCCACCGTTCCTTTTGTGCTGGGATCATCCTGTTGTTGTTTTGAGGGGTAATGTTGACCCCGGATTAATAAACCAGTCCCATTATTAGGGGGTGTCCCCCTCCAAAAGTGATGAATCCCCACTAAAAGGGGAACCCCCCTATTAATCAACCAGGGGTTTATTAATCTGGGGTCAACATTATCCAAGTCATTGGCCTTCAACCTACCACTTAGGAGGTGACCTTTATGATGGCAACATTTCAGTGGGGCCAATTCGTAGCAAGGCTTGTTTGCTTCTTTCCCCGCAAGGGGAGATGGTAGGTCTTTAGGTCGAACACCACAAGCCCAGTCAATCAAGACAGGAATGATTGACTACCTTCTTATGAACAAATTGAAGGGGGGGCTCAAATGTAGAAAGCCTTTTCTAGAGCTTCCTTTTGCTGCCCAATCCACCCCACCCACCCACCCACCCACCCCCCACTCACCACACCAGTGGTTTGTTGCTTGATTCTCCTTCTGCATAATTTACGGCGGGCTCACCCGGGGGGAAAACGAGCTCACCATGGTAGGGATCCTTTACTTGGGGATCCCTTGTTTATCCTTGTTTCCAGTGTTGGACATATGACAACATCTTCCATTTGCCTAAGAATTCGTTTGTTCAACTTTCCCCTGGTTTGCATTGTTTTTCCAGGGGCGGAAGCAGGTGGAATCCGTTTTCACTTCAATCATCTCTTCAATCATTTCCCACTTCTCCCGGGGGCTTCAGATTTTCCGGCAGAAGCCTTTCACCGCGCCTTTCTTGGGAAGAAGCACACCTCGGCGCACGGGTCCAACCGGGCAGGTCGACTCGTTTCACCCGGCAAATCGAGCCGATTTGCCTCCGAAAGGGGCCACTGCACAGATTTCCGGACTCGGGTGAGAGGTCACCATCTGTTTGGGGAACCCCCAAACACCTCAGTAAAATCAAAAACAGACCTTTTGACCTTTTTGGTGAGTGCAACCCTTTTTTGGGTTCAAAAGGTGATCACCTTGTATTTGCCAGGTCCTTTGCGCAAGTGAGACACAGCACCCCAACCACGGCTCCCCTGTCCCTGTGGCAAAGAAGTCGACCCTTTGGCCAAAGCCCCAGTTTGCCGCCAAGACTTTTCGCGGGATATGTCACAGACAGCCGCGCGTGTGAGCAGACGAGATGAAAAGTGTGCACCTGAAAAGCGGGGCAATATTTTTGCAGAATGCAAAAGCCTACTTGAGCCACAATCAAAACCCGGGTAGATGAAGGTTAGCAAGAGATGCTCCCAAGCAAAAACAGCTGCAGCCACTTTCTTACAACAATGAGAGGAAGGTGGCCTGCAATCAAACAGCGATCATGCCAGGGGCTACTGCCTGCAAGGGTAATGCCGCCTGTGCAAAAGCATGTCACAACCCCGCCCCTGGATCCCAACAGTTCAAGCCTTAAAGGTCCCCCCCTCAAATGAGGGAAATGAGGGGGAGGGCTCTAAACCAAGCTTAAGTGTCATCTTATATGTATATATATATATATATATATGGCTGGGCAACTTGTGACGAGCAGGCGAGCTTACTCACGAAGGTCCGTTTCCATGGTGTTTTGGACACATGTGAAACAAATCTCAGTTGTTCAAAGCGGATCGACCTTTTGACCTTCTGGTTTTCCCATTTTGGTCCATATTTCGTCATGGCCCCAGGTTAACCTTTTAGTTCCAGGTCCTTTGAGCCACCGAGAAATGGAGATATCAGCTTCAGATGTCATGGCTTGATGTCATTGGTTCCAACCGCCAAGTCCATTGAAACCAAAGGGCCGCCAAGTCCATTGAAACCAAAGGGCCGCCAAGTCCATTGAAACCAAAGGGTGATTTGCATCAAGCCATGCAAAGCGAACGGCGGGTGATGTGATGGAGCCCTCCCAATGACCCGCTCGATGTATCCAAACGAGACCAATTGGGGTGAGGGGATCCGGGTTGGAGGTATCCAAGGACCCCAAGGACCGCACGAGATGCGCAAGCACGGAATTTTGAGCAGGGAATTTTTTGTGGGTGGGTTAGGCTGCAACGAAGGCGTTTTCAACCGTATGCCTGTTGCTGCTGTGGGTAGCTGCAGCTCTGCAATTGTCCCAGGCAGTACTGGGAGTGTGTGTGTGTGTATATATTGATGGGTCTGGCATTATGTTTGTTTTGGTTCGTGGTGCTGTAGTGCAGACTGACTATGTTGGCACTTTATTTGCTGATGGCTTGAAGCCAGTATCGAGCTTGCCGGTTCGCTCGCTCCCCCTCAGCTTTGGATCAAGGCTAGCCATTCGCACGGATTTTTTTGCGAGGCTGGACGGGGAAAAAATAAAAGCTGAACTTGAGATTTCTCCCACTTCCCAGACTTCCCGGTTCCCCCCTACGGTCACCAAGTCTCACATGGTTTTGTCCCCACTACGACTCTGGGTGCGCGCTGCTTCTTCACTTCTCCCCCGAACCGAAGATCCCCGCAGCCACCGAGGATCCGATTCCCGGGCCCCCAAAAACGCCATGCGGCCTGAGCTCACAAGTTGGCGACGCAGTGCCTCTCGCAACCACCTTTGGAGTCTCAGAGTCTCACCCCACCTGAACCAAGATTCTACGGCTTCAGCATGTGTCTTTCATTGTCTTTCTTGGCTGCTTGCTGAACTGTTCTGCATTCACCCATTCCAAACTTCCGGGGCCACATGGTTCCATAGGTCACATATTCCTGTGGACATCTTCCAAACTTCCCTCCGGCGTTGTCTTTGGCAACGCTTCCTCCTCCCGCGCCGCTCGCGGCCGCTCCTCCGGCGGCGCGCCGGAAGATCCGCAAGACGAAGCCCTCGGGATCATGGCCGGACCTCGGGGCAAAAGGCCGCTGAGCTGCATCGCCGCCGTCGGCCCTTTTCATCTTTGGGTTGGTGAAGCACGGCCTTGTCATCCAGAGGCACATATGTGTTTGCCAGAAGGAACGGATTGTTCAAGAATTATTGTAGGGCAGATCAACGGAATTGGATCCCAACCCCCCTCCTCCTTGTGGTAGGGGGATAGCTGCATCGGCGCCATCAGCGCTTTTCGTGTGAGTCACAATCAAAACCTGGATAATTGGAGGGTAATTAGTAAGCCCGCCTTTGTGTTTCCAAACATGGTGGGTCAACCATTTTAGTACCAGGTTTTGATTGTGACTCATCTTTGGGTTTGACTTGCTGTGAGCAGTTTGGCTTCAGGTGAGGCACAATCACAACCCGGGTAGATGAAGCTTGGTATGGGACCATCCCAACCATAAGTAGCTGCGGCCGCCTTCTTAATTCTTCACATGGCTCTGGGTAGACCACTTCAACACCGGGTTTGGATTTGTGAATGAGGTGGATTCTCGTCTCATCTCTTTTGCGTCCGGGGTGCGTTTGCTCGACTCCTGGCCACGTTTCCGTCATTTTCCCTATCTCGGTTTGCATGCTTACGTGAGGGGCAACATGCATGCCCCGAGCCTCGGAGCAATGACCAGGGCGCCCCCCTTTGCTTGTTGGTTCTCCTTTTCCCTTTAAAGCCCAGCCCCTAAACTTCCTTTTCCCTTTAAAGCCCAGCCCCTAAACTTCCGTTTCCCTTTAAAACCCAGCCCCTAAAATTCCTTTTCCCTTTAAAACCCATCGCCTAAAAGTCCTTTTCCCTTTAAAACCCAGCCCCTAAAAAACCTTTTCCCTTTAAAGCCCACCCTAAAAAACGCGAAAAAGACGGGGCTTCCCCCACCCACAAAAAGTCGGCGGCTCATGTCGGCCGGCTTCGCCCAGGCTCCCATGACTTCGCCCCCAAGCCGCGAGGCCATGCGAGCGGTAGCTCAAAGATGGGTAGATGGGCGGTAAGGGCAGTGCCAACCACCAGGCTGTTTTTGCAAGGAGTGTGAAACAACACACAAACACACACATGACATATATATATATGTACATGTATATACATATATATACATATATCTACATATATATATATATATATATATGTAAATCTACGTTTTTTTTTTTGTTTTTTTTTTTTTTTAAATAAATAAGTATATATATATATATAGATAGATCGATGTAGACAAAGATATGCATATACATACATGGCCTTAGCAGTTGTTTTTTAGTTTCGTCTCGTTGAAACGAAAATGGCGGCCCAATCCTTTCGGCACCTCTGGGTCGGATTCCAGTTCGGGCCGGCATCTCCCCATTCGGGCCGAGGGGTAATGCGTCAGCTTGGACATTGGACCAATGCCTGACTTGCTGTTGGTTTCCATCCCACAGAAAGTTCCTCATGTTGGTATGGGTCAAGCCTTAAACCAGGATATGTGACCGCCGATTTTAGTCCTAATGTACCGGCAAGATCCATTTTGAGGCCCCACGGAATCCGATCCTGCTCTTGTTTGTGGCCCTGCGCGCGTGCGAAGGCCCCGTTTTAAGAAGACGAATGCGGACCCCGCTGCCCGCAAAAGTGATGCGGATCCCCTTTTGAGCGAGACAGCCCTTGGTTGATGAATCCTGGGTCAGCAGTACTTTAAACAAGTGTCCTCTGTAATTACTTCTCATTTGGGGTCTCTTTCGGTGTCATTTGTGACCTTCAGATGGGCTATGAAGAAGAATCTGAAAGTACTATGATTGTTCTGCATAATTTATGGCGAGCTCACCTGGAGGTAATGCGAGCTCGCCATGCAACATATCCTTTACTTGTGGATCATTTTTTCGGTTTTGGAATTATTGAAAAAATGCAGATTGGAGTGCCCTGTGCCAAGGTTTCATGGGTGCCGGTTGCCATGGTGCAGGATTCCCACTATGTCCCTGTTAGGTGGATCTGAAATCATCATTGCTTTGGCCTGTTTAAGGTGAGTCTCTTAGCGGTGATGTTTCAAGGGCTTACCCCTGAGTTGTTCTGGACTTTATGCTATGGCAAGAATAAAAGTGGCGGGACCCAAAATCCTAACCTAAAATCTTACCATGAAATTGTATGTCTTCTCGTCGGTCCAACATTAAAAAGGTACCCTCAACAACCAGCACCCCCAACCCCCCACCCCCAAGTCCCCACCCCCAAGTCCCCACCCCCAAGTCCCCCAACCCCCAAACCCCCCAACCCAACCACCTCCAACCCCCCCACCCCCAACTCCCACCCCCAAGTCCCCCAACCCCCCAACCCCCACCTCCAACCCCCCCACCTCCAAGCTTCACGCCCATTGGCCAGGCGCCGCCCGGCCCGATGCCAAGGAGTCGGCGAAGGCCACGCCCCGGCGCGCCGCGGGCCTGCGGAATGTGGGCCCGGGCGCCCGGGCGAGCCCGCGAGCCCGCGAGCCCGCGAGGGGATTGGGCAGGGAGTGAGTTGGAACCCCGAGAAAAACCAGCACGACGTCTTACCGTTTTGTTTTGTTCCTCTTCTTTTTCCGCTTCTTGCTCCAGAATGGCGAAGCAGGTGCATAGGTGTCCTTTTTGGTTGTTTTGGTAGAAAAATAGCGGGCGATTCCTGGTTTACCTGGAGGTTTATCATCTATCAGGGCCATCTATTTGCCCAGAAAGACACCTATGAAACCATCCCGATTGTTTCGTTTAAATCCGGTTCATTCCCAAACCGTGGGTCATTCCCTACTATCTCACCTTGCCCAAAGCCGACCCTTTCTTGCCTGATTTGGTTATTTGTGAATTGTGAGTAGCACCAAAAGGGTTCACCTTGTATTTCTGGCAACTGAGCCTGAGTTCCTGGACAATAAAGTCACTTGTTTGTTTTGGACCATTGTAGTGGTAATACACTCACTTTACTAGCGTACTAAGTTTAAGGTTGAACGTCGGCCAGCCAGGAGCAAAGCCAGCCAAGATGCGAGGAAACAACACACAACAGCTTAGAAATCGATTAAGCAAACACCAAGCAACAATATGCAGCAGCAGCAGCAGCAGCAGCAGCAGCAGCAGCAGCAGCAGCAGCAGCAACAACAGCAAACGCAGCAAGAGGCAGGCAAGAAGGGGAGCAAACCAGCAAACAAACAATGCAACAAACAGAAGCACAAAAGAAGGCACAAAGGCACGCTGCCAGCAAAGCGGGCAAGCGCACAAAACCACTGACGTAGAAAGAAGGTGTTGGGGAAAGGTAGCCAATTGTGTTCTAATTGGCGGGCCCCTTTCAGGTTTCGTAACGTGCCCTAAGTCGTTCCCATCAGTGCGTCGCGAGAAAAATCTGCTCTCTGTTTGTTACACTTAAACGCCTCCCTTCACTCTGCTGAAGTACTTTTTAGTGTTTCTGTTTGTTGGTACCCATTACTCGTAGAGGCTGTCGGAAGAGAGTGTCGGAAAGCGTCAAGTCTTTACCAAGATGTCAAAGGTCGGGAAGAATCCCGGCCAATGTCTTGGTACAGGCCTGCTTTGGGATGGGACCCACAACGGAAGGAGCCCATCTGAAGGCTTTCTTTGGCAGGTAAGCCGTTAGCAGGCAGGGAACCAGCCCCTAACAATCCCCCTCCCCTGCCCCGGCTAGGAGGGCTTGAAAGGCGTTGGGGGATGGGGACCCCTGTGTTAGGTGAGCATCCTGGCGGCATTGTGCATTTCTTGCGCCCCTTTCCCATAAGAATTTCTCAGAAGGGTGTACATTTCAGAGACTACCAATGATGCCCCCGAAAAGACCTTTCAAACGGTCAGGGCTTAAGCTTGATTCAGGAATGCCTTGGGATTGGGAACTTTATGTGTTTGAGTGCTTTTTGAAAGGTGTTGTGCATCAGACAAGGGCTGTGGGATGTTTTGGTGCCAGGGCCACTTTCTGCGCTACCCCTTGAAAGTGACAAAGTGTTCATAGGGATGAGGGTCCAGCCCATGTGCACTGCGCTTCCACAGGAATCTCACACTGGAGGACCCTGGAAGAGCCCTGACCCCTCCAAGTGACCTTAAGAGCCTGGGAGGGGGGAATCGACCAACTGCAAAACCATACCCAGTTGTTTGGTCATGGTTTCCCACCAAAATTGTCAACCCCCAAGCGTTCCAATCCTTTTTTTTGCAGGGCCACTCCGGGCAGTAATCTGACTGGAGGGCCCTGGAGTCTTGCCCTCTTATCCCAAATGGAAGTGGGCCATCAATGCGGACTGCTCCATCTTGGAAAGGACCGCTCCATCTTTTTTTCTTATTTTGTCTAGACCAGGGTTTCCACCCTAAGCTCAGTTGTTCAAAACCGACACTTTGACCTTTTGGTTTCCCTTTGTCCCTTTTTCGAGGTACCAAAAGATGATCACCTTTTATTTCCAATCCTTTCTTGGGGGAAACCTTTCTCAGGCAAAAGCTCTGAAGGGCTTTCTTCAGACCAGTTTCCACCCGGAACGGGGAACTCCTGGAACGGAGAAGTCAAAACCAATGGTACCATTTTTTGGGTAGGTGAATTCACCACACATTTTGGGACCTATTTTTTGGTGGGGATTGGGATGTTCACTGGGGGCCAACCGAATTTTTTGACCCAGGGCCACCTGGAATGTTTTTTTCCGGAGATGCGAGCAGCTGGCAGCGAGGCAACACCTGCTTCATGAACAGCGGCCTGCAATGCCTCGCGAACATCCCGCTGCTGCGCCATTGGGCGAGAGAAGATTTTCGCCCGCGGGTTGGCTGGCCCTGGGATTCCGCTTGCTTAAAGACTCGGATTCACAGCAGCCTCGGAACCTTTTTCAGAAGACCAGCCGGTTGGCCCTGGGATGCCGCCTTTTTTTTAAGGACTTGGATTCACAGAAGCCTCCCAGCCATTTCACATGGGTTTGCCCTGGGTTTCTGCTTTAAGCAAAGGACTATGAACTGCCCGAATTCAGGAAACCGCAACAGATAGTTTATGGGGTGCATTCCCTGCCTATCGAACCAGCAAGCTTGAGAATATGTGTTATTTTCTCTGATTTACCGACAACCTATCCCTATTGCATTTGTTTCGACGGGGCTTAAGCAATTGGAGGACTTGATTTAGATATGTGATTCTCATGTGCTGGTTTTAAGGGAACCTATGCTGACATATTGTTGATTGAGGCATGTTTTTGTTGGGGGTTCCTCTAGCAGTTTTCAAGGGGATCTATCCCTGGACACATCCTTGGTTGCTGGACTTGAGGAGCATCTACACAGGTCAAGCCCGTGTCACGTCCATATCCCTTTTTGTGGGCAGATGCAATCAACCTGGATGCCGAGTCCTGCCGACTTGCCATGGTTTCAACTGGATCCTGGATGTTAAATCGGTGTGTCCCATTTTTTAGGAAACCTTTACTCTTTGAGAGGCCTTGCAAATGAACCAGGTTTCATTCCCTCTTGGCATTGGGGCTTGACGGGGGTTCGATGCCCGATCAGCATTGGCTTGTTCTTCTCCCGGCCCGTTGCTTTTTTCTTGGACTGGAACGGTTTTTATGCGTTCCCTTGGCTCCTCGTTCCTTTGGAAAACAAAAAAATCAACATTGGCCTTGTCGCCTCCAAAGTTCTTTCCCGATGAACAGTCCGTCGGGCCCAGCCAGAGCTTAGGCAGGCTTCTGCGTGCATAGTGTAGAGAGTCCCTGGGAAGCTTTGGGGACTCCCGGCAACTCCGGCTGCAAGCCGAAAAATGCTGGGGTGAACACACGAGGTTCCGAAAAACCGGGTACGCTATTGGCCCTCTTTATGGTGTCAGCGCTTAGCACATCCCCTCAAAGACCCCCCCTGAACATATGGCAGGTGGGTCAAAAACATGTACCCAACATGGGAGCCCTGGTAAATCGAAACATGGATTAAACCTGTGGTCCCATGGTAGTTTAATTTTGACCCACAGCCATTTGGATGATGACAATCCTTAGGTGAAGAATGGTGGTTGTATGAACCCCCTTTGATTCAATGGTGGTTTCAAGCCCAGGGCCCCCGCGGTGGGGTCCAACCAAAAACGCCTTGGCCACCTGCATAGAACCCCCACCCCCAGCTGAGTCACGCAAGAGGCGACCGCCTGGAAGCTTCCTCTGCGCCGAGCGCGCTGCAAAAGGCGGGGTGCGAGTCATTTGGGCGGTGGTTGCTTCTCTTTGCTCCTTCTTTCTGTTGTTCTTTCTTTTGTTTTGCTGACTTCCTGAGTTCATGAGCTTTAAACCTTTTGGGAAGACCATTTTAGTGGTAATCAAAAAGTTTGGACTCTTTTTGGGCCATCCACTCAGCCAGTGAGTTTGGGGGGGACCCACAAACAATTGGGGCACCCAGCAATTCCCCTCGGTTTTCAAGGTTGAATTTGTCACTGGACACATGTTCTCATTTCTTCCGGAGGGAAAAAACACACTGCGCGTCTTTCGGTTCTAATTTATTTCCCCTTTCAACCAACCACCCCCCTCCTGAAAATCCTGAAATCCTGAAATCCCCCCCCCCCTTTTTTCCTTTTTGAGGGGAGGTCGCCTCAAAAGACGAGGCACACTGGGCTCCAAAAGTTGGGCGGGGAAATTCTCCTCGGCCAGGCGCTGGGCGCCTTGGTGCAGCAGCTCTGGGACGCCCGGTCCACTGTGGTGAACCCTGGTACCTGGAGGCGTCGGCGAGCGGTCGGAGGGAACACGTAGCCCCCCCAACAAAAAGCCGAAGCTCGAAAAAAAGGGCAGACTTGGAGACAGGAACATTTTCACCCCCGCTCCCCCCCAAAAAAAACACAAAAAACGACAGCAAGCCAAAAGCTCGAAAGTGGATGCAAGTTTGGTTGGGACACGCCCCCTTTTTGTGGAGAGAGAAATCTTCTTTGATCCTGTTCGTTGGGTTCCACGTGTCAAACTGAGATTATGGCAGGGGAGTTTGGTTTGCGTCCGCCAGGGATGCGCTGAACAGCGCCACGGATATGTTCGCGGAGTGGCAGCAGCACGCCACTTGACGACTCGACCTGTTGATCTTGATAAGCAGAAATCGACCCAGTATATCTTGTGGGCATTTCCTCCGAAAATAATATTGTTTCAGGGTATTAGGCCAAGATATGAAACAGATTAAAGCTTGTTTCCATTGCCCGCGGCCGAATAGATCAAGCGAAAGGCGTGAGTCCAATGAACACCACCTAAAACATCTTCAACACCTGAGTGGTGTTTAGTTTTGAAACCACCCATCCCTCAACAAAACCTTGCGAAAAGGGGCTTCTCTTCAATCTTAGTGGACCCCAATCGGGCCACAATAGCTATCTGGTTTGTTTGTTCCTCGTTTTTTTCTCGATTATAGCTTCCGCTAGTTACTCACTTGCCCAGAGCCGACCTTTTGACCTTTGCGTTTTCCCCTTGTTGGTTTCTTTTCAGTCACGGCCCCAACAGGCTAACCTTTGTCTCTGAATGCTTTGGGCAACTGGGGTTACCTCAATAGCAACCACCATCTTCACTTCAAAGAGAAGCCAAGAGATCGCTCATGCTTGCTTCCCCGTTGAACGCCCTTGTGTCTATCCAATTGGCAAGTGGACGCACCACCATCCAGCAAGCTTCCCCAGAGTTAGCTCACCTTCTTCATTTTTTCTTTTTTGGGGTCCCCTTTGTTTTCTACTAACGTTCATTGCCGGGGTCCTAATTCCAGCCAAGCAAAAAGGGTTCCAAGACAGCAAATGGAATCGGAAGGGTTCGAGCTTCAGAGTTCCGTGGCATGTGTCGAACCTGTGCACATCACCAAGGGACTGCGGATTATAGTCCATGTTTCCATTTACCAGGGTTCCATTTTGGGTACCTATTTTTGACCCACAGCCATATGGGAAGCACATGGATATGGATCTTTGCTGATGGGTGTCCTTAAAGGATCAAAGTGATCTCTGCACTGCGTTCATTTTTCAGGGGACATACCGCACCCTCGATTCCACGGTTGGTCCAAGTCGATTGTGTAAACATGCAGCTAACTTTTAAACAACAATAAAACAGTGTTCATTGGGTTCCCTAAAGCATTCACCAGGGAGTGGTTCTTCAAAACAACATCTACTCAACCCTGAATCGCCTTGGCTCTTTTGCCAAAGCTGGACACACCAAAACCTTGCAACCAGGGACCCGTTCAGGCTCACGGGAAACCAATGGACAACCATTTGGGTCCTCCTACTTTGTCGCATATCCATGGGCTTTTTTCATGGTCGACCATAGGCTGCGAAGAACCACTGTTCTTTCTCTGAAGCATCAGGGGTGTTAGGAAGCCTTGGGGAGGGCATGGTAAACATCTTTCGCCAATTTGCCAATTGATACCAAAGTCGGCTCACTTTAGTTGGTGATCCCTGAAACTTGATCTAACCCCTTCTAGGTCATAGACTACAGAAAAATCGGGTACTCTTATTTTAGCCTCTCTACTGGAGGACCTAGTTGATCTACCCCCTTCGCCCATGGCTGTAGGACAGCATGGAATTCGTGGAGTTCTTGGTGGATCGCCTCACCGACGAGTGGAAGGCGGAAGCCGAAGCGGAAGGCGCGAAGGCCGAAGGAGGCGCGGAAGCGGCCGAGAAAGAGACGGAGGCGGCGGCTTTCGGGCTGAGCGCCCACAGGCTCTTCGCAGGTTCCTTGGAAGCTTGGCCTTGAAATCTGGGTGGCTCCCATTCGCCTTTTAGCATTTTAGTGTTTAGTGGTAGTTTCCATTTAAGCCAGGACAGCCCCGAAATGTGTTTGCCTTTTTTGCTTTCTTGATTTGGACCCCCCAAAACCGTGATTTTCCTTTTGGATTCCCTTCAAAGCCACCAAGCAAGGATACTCTGAATAAGAGACACACCCAAATATTGAAACTGTTGCTGCGCTCCGCCCAAACACTCCATGCGTGCAATCTTTGCCACATTTGCCGTATAACTTACCACATCAAATTGTGTGGGGTGGGGTATCCTCCAAACAATTGTATATATATATATAAATAGGTATATGGTTTGTTTTGTTCATGTACCGACGTGGGCCATGATTGTGGGCAGCAAAATGCTTTGACTCTAGCAAATCTGGGCGTCCATATGTTGAACACCCGAACTTGTCCAACTAATCTGCGGCCGGTTGTGGCCCAAAATGGGCATGGGGCGTGTTCAAGCAGCCTTGATCCTTGTGTTTTTGATGGTACTCTTTGCAAGTTGGCCAAGGGGAAGCCACGTTCGGAAAGCCGAAGTGTGTGTGTGTGTGTGGGGTTAATCCCTACTATTCATGACATAGTTCCTTGATGGTCCGGCACCCTCTGCAAGTTACCTGAAGAAAACAAGCAGAAGCGGAATGTCCGAAAACAGGTTGCGGGTTAAGTTGGTGGTTTGACTTGGTGGTTTAGATTCGGATTTGAACCCCAGGTTCACCAAAGAACCAATCTAAATCAGCAAGCAACGAGGGAAGCTGAGAAGGCCAACTGGGATTTGAACCAGAGACAAACCTGTGGTCCCTGCAACTTTTGACACATAGTCTAAGGTTCCTAAATGTACCCCGAGGGCCCCAGTGCTCCTGCAAAACGCAGAAGATCAAGTACATAATGGGTGTCGACAGGTATGCCATCTGATTGCTACTTACTACGCGCATATGGCTCATATTTTCCGGCTCGTCATTTTTTGTGCTTTGCCCTTACACCATCCCCATGTGTCTATGTATTTTTGTGGCCGCTTGGCGCCGCTTATGAACTCAATGGGCTGAGGAGACCTTCATCAGGTGCCCGCACGAGGACTGTGCCAAAGAGTGGTCCAACATGGAGACGCGGCGGAGGGCGGGGTGCGCTTTAGGCTGCCCGTTGTTTTTGGTGGTTTGGTTTGAAGAAGGGGAAACCAGCGGGACCACCGTGTTGTTTTTTTTTTGCAGGGGGGTGGGTTTGAGGAAAGGGACACCAACGGGACACCGCCGTTTTTTGGTTGCGTTCCTGAATTTTGAGACATGCCCATCACAGGTGAAAGCAGATGGCACCATGTCCGGACGTGGGGAAGTAGAGGGGACTGGACTGGGGAACTAGGTCCCCCTGTAGTGCCCTTTTACCCATTTTTGGGGAGGGTTTCCCTACTAAAATAGACTACAGAAAAAGGGGTACTCTTATTCTAAGCTCTCTACCGGAGGACCTAGCGAATTGTGCCATCCACTTTCGTCCGATTTTGGTTTGGCCTCACCCTGCAACCCACGTCGCCATGGAATGTACCAGAGGGTCCTTGTAGAGGAACATTGCCTTCCACAAGCTCCCCCCCCAGTCAGTCAGGTTCCTTAGTGGATGGGAAGATCGAATCAACCACCACAAAAACGGCAGGTAACTAACCAGTCTTGCTGTTTTTTTGGGGCTGGGCTACATTTGTCAAGAGAATGCAAGGGGTCGCAAAATCGAGTCTTCTCGTTGCTTAGAGAAAAGACATGGTTTGGTGTTTCTTCAATTCGAATCTTCTTGCAAACGGAAGGTTGTTCTTCTGTTTTGCTATTGTTGGCTGGGACGTGAAGAACATAAACACAAAAAGCTTGGTAGGTATTTCCAATCCCCGCTGGTTCAAAGGGAATCTATCAGTATTCAATAGGTGTGTTGCGTGTTTTCCCGGGGAATGCATTAGGTTGGCGGCTTTAGGATTTAAACCCCTGGTTCTGGAGGGGATTGGGTAACCACCGAAACTCCACACCTCCAAAGCACCGATGCGGCTCCAAGTCACCAACCAACGAAGGAAGCTGAATGGAGGTTCCCTGATCTGAGAGCCGGCGAGTCCTAAGGAGAAGATCATCTCCATCAAGCTGCCGGGCCGAAGCTTTGAGCTGAGCCAGAAGGAGGAGCTCACCATCATCCTGGTGCCCTTGTTGGGTTGTTTTTGGATGGTACCCCCTTTTTTGGTCTCACTTCCTGCGTGGACTGCCCAAAAAACGTCCAACCTAGCTTCTTCTTTCTTTTGTTTTGGGGGGGGGTCATACCACTAAAAGGGTCTTCGCAAAACGTTCAAAGTCACTGAACTCGGGAGACCAAAGCGAACGCCACAACACATTTTGTAAGGGGTCACCTAAAACAAGACACACCCATGTCGACCCATTTAGACCATTTTTGGAGTGGCCTCCACCCGATCCCAAAGGAAAGGACCTACATACAAACTAGGCGGATTTAAAGGGTCCCCCAGAGTCCCCCAAACAAAAAGTCTCAAGACAGGCCGCAAAAAACGGGGCGGTGCTCCTCTGGTTTCCCTTTTCAAGGGGTTTCGTCTTTTAAGTGAAATCGGCTTCCACCCAAATGGCCTTCCCAGGAACCACCAGGTCCATTGAGTTGGGATGTCAAGCTTTTGATCAACCCCTGGTTGATGTTAATTGGGGAATGCCCCCTTCAAGTAGGAGCAAACAAGAACAAATATCGAGGATCAAGCCAACAACCACACACCACACCGCAGGTCTTGGCTTTTTTTTTTCCGGATGCAAGATGTTTTTTTTTTTTTTCTTTCGGGGTTTCCCCCAAAAACCACACGAATTCATCACTTTTGGGGGGGGAACCCCCCCCCTTGAGGCCATCTTGGGACCCAACCAAATAATTATTATATACAAAAAACAACTCAACAACTTGTCCATAATGGAAAAACAAATAATAATAGTAGTACTAATAATAACAATAACAACAACAATAGCAATAAACATAGTTTCCATTGATAATATTCCAAAAAAGTCCACACCACGCCAGGTGCCGCGGCCCTCCTCGCAGCAGCCGCCCCAAGCTCTGCGCCTCTTCCTGTCGCGCCCGGCGCTCGCGGGGCAGTTGGCACCCGAGGCTGCGGCGAGCCACGCCGAGGCCGAAGCGCGGACGCATCGAGGTTTGGGGTTTGGTGGAAAGTGCGCGTTTCTAAGGGATGATTCCCACGGAAATGCCGACAAGCAATGTTTTTGTTATTATTATTATTATCATTATTATTATTATCATTATTATTATTATTTATATATATATATATATTTCAATATGGTGCAGAAGTTCTTCCATCCATTGTATGTCACTGAAAGTTCTAGGGGTTGATTCCTTGCCCATTCTGTTCAACCATCGTTCTTTTTAAAAAACCGGGTCAGTTTTCCCTGGGTTTCGGGAGGTTTTCTAGAAAGAAGGATCCCTGGAAAGCATGGGGAAGGTAGCACTAGAGTGTTGTTGTTTCCCATGGAGCTGTGGCTGTTTACTGGAAATCCCCTCAGAAAACGTTTGGTGAACAGACATTCCCATGTAAATGCTGCCCCCGAAGGTTCCAAATTGAGATCACACCCATTTGCATGTGTGTGTGTGTGCGTGTGTGTTTGTTTGTGATTGTTTTGTTTGTATGCGTTTTTTGGGGGGAACCCCCTTTCAGCGGGGGGGGGGGGTGTATTTGAAGGGAATCCAAACTGAGCTTCCTAGATCTGGCCTTTTGGGTGCTTGTGGGCAAAACATAGTCCAGACCCCGAATTTTTTTTCACCTGCTATTTCCGCGCCCTGTGGGCAACTGAGACCAGCAGCCGGAGGCGCACGGAAATCAAAAGTTGCCGAGGCGCACGGAGGCAACTGAGACCTGCTTTCCCCACGGAAATCCGTCGCAGGTTTGGGATACAGAGTGCATCAAAAGTTGCCGCTTGTGGAAGTACTTTTTTGCGCCCTTTGGGCGCCGGCGAGGAACATCTTCTTGACGCGCATGTCTTGGCTCCAGTCACCCCCAGCTGCGGTTTCCGAGTTCCCTTTTGCTGACAGATTCTCTTTGAAATCAACTGCCGCAACATGAGTGCCAGTTATATTTTCCCCATGGAAATTTGCTGGGGGTCTGGTGTCTATTAAAAGTATGTATATATATATATATACACACCTAGTTCTTCACGTGCATTTTTCCGGTATACGTGCAAAATCATTGCAGTTTTGTCAAACACTATGTCTTTTGACCCAACGGCGATTATTTTCGCCTGCCGGCAGTTTTCAGTGTTTGCACACCCTAGCATCGGCGAAACGGCGTTTTTTTTGGCTGGTCACGAGCTGGACTCACGGCGAGCGCTTTTTCTTCGAAAGAGTGTTTTTTTCAGACACCGGCAAAGATTATTGCTGTTTTGGGAAACGGCGTTTTTTTCTTCTTTTTTTCTTCGAATATCCGGGTATTGGAATCAGTCGAAAAAAGGTCAGATGATTGAGATATGAAGGGACGACCTTTTGGGTCTCACGGTTGCCTTTCGCGAGAGCTTTGCGACGGAGGTCGCATGTGTTTCCGTGACTTCTTTTTTTGCGGAGAAAAACAAGTACGGATTGCCGCAACTAGAGTAAATCGCTGCAATGGCAACAAGCCAAAAAAAAGAAAAACACTTTGCGGAGTTTGGAAACTTTTGGGTCCAGTTGAGGGCAGCTTCCCAGCCAGATTTTCGGTAGCGTTTGGCGCAAGATCCGCGAAAGTTTCGCGAAAGCCGATAGACCACCCACTCCCGTGCTGCTGCGTGTTGGGGCTGCAGAAGTGCACTTTGCGTGCTGCTTTGGGACTGAAAAGTCGCAACTTTCGAGCCGGGGCTGCGGAAGTGGCTTCGTGTGCTAGATTTGTTTGTCGAACGGCTGCGACTTTCGAGTTGGGACTGCGGAAGTGTACTTTGTGTGCTACTTTTCCAGTGAACGTTGCGAAAAGAGCCCCACGACAGCGCAGCAATGGTGGTCGCGAAAGTTGTTGTTCTGCGAAGCCGTCGTTTTCGGGAGTATGGATTTCAGACAACACAACATAGTTACATATTATTTGTTATTTACATATATGCTATACATAACATATGTACATATATATATATATGTTACATACATATATATTTATATGTATATATATATATATATATGTGTGTGTGATCGACATGGTCCAAACCAGCGGCCCCCAGTCAGTTCCTTTGGATCCAGCCAAGATAGTTGCGTTTCCTCCAAATTCACAGTCACACGGGTTCTTGTGTTTTGGTTCCCGGTATGTTTTTGCTTGTTGTTTGGTCCTGTTCATTGTGACCAGTGGTATGAAGCAATGGCTTTTGCCAACGCTCACAATCACAAAACTATCAAATTAGGAAGGTGCGTCCAACCCCGACAGAAGCAAAACACGTTTTCCCCCACCGAGCCCTGGCCTCCCTTTCAAATCAGGCAACGCCAAGTTCAACCTCGGAGTTCCGTTTCCACAGGCCCCTTCTGGTTTTTTCCAATTTCTTCTTTCAGCCTGCAAAAGGTGATCACTTGCAGTGCCCAGGTGTTCTTGTCTAAATCCAACTCAGGAGTCGCTTGTCTTAGTGCAAAAGCCAGCGAAGCCAACGCCAACCTTTCGCCAACAAACCAGCTTGAACCAAAAGGTCCTTGACTGGGTCCCTCCCAGTAGCGCCCTTTCTCACCCCTTTTCTTGGGGTAGGGTTCTCCTGCTAAAATCGACGTCCTGAAAAAAAGAAGGTACCCTTCTTCTAACCTCAAATCTGGAGGACCTAGTTGAGGTCCGTGACCTACCTTGCCATCCCCTTGCTTTTCATCCCCGTTGTTTGGTTTCCCCCGCTCGTTTTGGACCCGTAAAGCGCTTCCCATGCAACATCCCATGAGGCGGGGCCTGGCGGTGTGTGCGGCGAGCGGTGCGTGGCGGCGGCCATGCAAAGCGGCTGCCTTTGGGCCCTGGCGGAGGAGAAGTCGTTGGCTTCCATAGCCGTGGATGGACAGAATCCACTTCGCACCACTTCGGAAACCTTGGGGGGAGTCATTCCCGTGTAGATACCAACAAACAATGGTGTGAAATGGTTGCTTAAGTGGTGCAGGATTTCGTCCATCAAAAGTAGCTGTGGTTCCTTAGAATTCCGGGCGGGGGGGGGTTGCTTGTCTGGGGGGGGGGAAGGAGAGATAGAGAGAACGTGGTGAATTTGCTGAAGAACATGTTTTATTGTCCCTTGTTTTTAAAGGGAATCGATTTCACTACTGGAAATAGTTATTATTATTGTTATTATTATTATTTTTCCAGGGGGCTTAAGCAAATGGAGGTGTTAGTTTCTGATGGGTGTGGTTCCATAGAATTCCCTGGGGGGGGGGGTGCTTATCGGGGGAGGGGGTTAACTAAGAAAAAAGGTGTTTCCTGATTGATTACTAGGGGAAGAGGGGTTGGCAAAACTTTTGGGTTGGCGAGACAAGTCACCACTCTTGTCTTTCACTTGTTCAAGCGATATTTTACCCCTCAAATGGGTGTGTGTTTTCGGTGGGGGGTGGCCCGAAATGTGTTGTTGGTGTTCCTTTTGCTTTCCTTTAACCCCACAACAAAAGTGGGTACCCTCAAAAAACAGCTACACTCAAATGGCGGATGCAACGGTTGGAATTTGGAAGCCAAAAATGATAAGGCTGACCCATAATCAACCCCTGGTTGATGAATAAGGGAATGTGCAGGGGAACCCCCTACTAGAGGGAGAAAGCCATCATGTTGGGATCATGTGGGGGGTTTTGGGTGTGTTTTGTGGGGCTCGGTGCAGTTTGTTTGGGGCAGCCAATGGGTGCATTGAATGTGTAACCTTCAACTTGTTGGATCAACTGACTAGGGGGCAAGGCAGTTTGAGGGGTTTCAAATCTATTTTGGAAGGGGTTCTCTTTAAAGCAATTTGGATGGCGCAGTCTGGGCAAATTGAGGGGTTAACCAATGACGCGCACTTCCTCCCTATTATGTTTGAACTTAGTTTTAATGTACCCCCTTCCTCCAAGAAACATGCACCTTGCTTAAAACGTTAACCCACCCTGCAGGGTCCCCTTTTCCGCTTTTGACTCTAAACTGGTCAAAACTGCCCGTGAGGTTTGGGCTTAGTGGCTCGGTGTGGTGGGTTGGTAGTTGTTGATTTTTTTCATGGCGGGGGGGGGGGGGCACATTTGTGCTTTAGGGTCCCAAACTTCAAGACCAAATTGCAAAAAGCATGTCCTTTTCGCTTCCATTTACCGGCTCAAGAAAGGTGCCCCGAAAAAGGCAGACACCCATACTGTGGACGAAATCCGTTCCCACCACTTTGAACCATTGTTCGTTTGTATCAGGGAAAGAATCATTCCAGAGCTTTTCAGGTGGGTGGTGCACAATTTCATTGGTTTTGCATAGTTGTTGTTGGGAAACATTTATATTTTGCTTATGGTGGTTAAATATGTTTTTTGCGCCCCTTCCAACATCAACCAAGTTTGCTTCCCTTCCTGCAAGCTGCCTATCTCGGTGTGTCTAGGACGAGGAGCTGGAGCATATCTCCGCGCAGCTCTTTGTGTATGAGCCTCGCCCAAAGGATGAAAGACTTATGAGCGCCCTCCGATTCCCATTGGCCGTTTTAGTAGGTTCTACTGCCTGCTTTGTTGGGGTAGTCAGGCCTCCAGAAATATCTGTCGCGACGCGCGCTTGCGGTATAGGGGTAATTGGGGCAGGCTATGGGAAAGTAGTTTCAGCCCAACGCTTCCGGTTATATGCCAGTGGACTAGATAACCAGATACTGATACCTTTAGGTTTTACATGTTCCTTTCCCGCGGTTGCCGGAAGCACGGGGAAGGATCAAGGATCACTATGAAATCGCCGAAGCGTTTTTTGGACCCCGGGAAAAGGCACCCAAACCTCGTTTCTGCACTCGAACTCAATAATCCCTCAATCCTTATGCTGGGTGGCTTCCCAAGTGGTAAGTAAATACACCCACGCCCCCACTATTCCCTTGAAACAGGTAGGGACCAGAGAAGAACAAATGGGGGAATGAGGTTAGAATGGTTTTTTCTTCAGGTGTGAGATGACCAGGGTGTGTCTTTTTTTGACGGTCCAGTCCTTGTGATTTTCCAAGACCACCATTTCGGGGAGTCCCCTGAAGAAAACACCCATCAATCAACTAATTGTCAGGTTTTCCTGAATGGAAAGGGGATCCCCTGTTGCCCTGTCTGAATTTGTCCAACTTTTTGAAGATCTGACGCCATTCTTGGTTCGGCATGCACCCGACTTTTGGAAGCCCATAGCGATGGGCCTGCGCACTTCCATGTTGCATTCCTGTCAGGCTTTTGCAAGGGGGAGGAATTTCTGGAGTTGGGAAAAAAATAACATGGCACAACAGGAGAAAAGGCATGCAATTCCTGATCCTGGGGTGCTTGCCTTTGATGGTTTGGAATGTGTGGAGGTTGTCTAGGTCCCCCAGTAGTGCCCTTTTACCTTTTTTCTGGGGGAGGGTTCCCCTAAGACGTCCTGAAAAAAGTGGGTACTCTTATTCTAACCGATTCTAACCTCTATCTGGAGGACCTAGTTGCCTTTGATTGGTGGTTTGGATGTGTGGAGATTGGGTGTGGCTTGGAGGGGAGCCTCCCGCCTCCCGCGCGCCTCGCGAGCCGCGCGCGCCTCGCGCGCCTCGCGCGCCGCGAGCCTCGCGAGTCCGAGGAGCTCGAGGATTGCGAGGCAGTCGCCACCTTCCACCAGGCCCGAGGCCAAAGCAACCAGGACGTGAGTCGAATGATTCGACTCGGGGGGGAAGGTCGACCCCGGAATCTGAGCACCTAGAGTCTCCATGACCCTGAAAAAATGGGTCCATGGCCCCTGAAAAAAATGGGTAATGAACCCATTTTTTGGGGTTCTGGAGACTCCAGGTGAAATCCGTCCTCTTAGGGGCCCCTTTTGTTAGTCAACCAAAGGGTTATTTCATCTGGGTTCAGCATGATCAAGTTAGCCAGGGCCAGATTGCACTTCCCAAATCAACACTTGATACGAATGAAGCTGCCACAAGAAACAAACATTCGGGCAGCAATCGCAACCTCGCAAAGAGTTCTGGTTTGCATCTGGTTTGCGATCGAAATCACCCACCCTGAAGGCAACACGTGCCCCAACCCTAGACGTGGACGTGTCCTCTAGGTGTCCAACGCGCCGAACAATTTCGGCTGGCTTAGTGTTTTTGGTTTCCGTACGAGCCTCCAAAAGTTGGCAGCTTCATTCGGCCTGACGAGCAAGTCCCCTTTTTTGAAGCGGACCTCCAGTGGCCCAACCTTCGACACCCCCCTTTATTGAACACCCTTTCGATATCTTTCGGCCTTACCTCACCGCAGATTGGAGTGATTATGAGTAGTAACAGGGGGGGGCTATGGACATGTTGGTTCAATTGATGGGCTCTTTGGCATCTGTTTTTTGTCTGGCTCGGCTGTTTGTTGTTTGTTCAATGTAGAAACCATCATTCATGGGTCACCCTCCTTCCAAGCAGGGAAGTAGAGAGAGATCGGCGAGGAAGGCTCTTCCCACACAATCCTGTGAGCTGCTTGCTATGAGAGTGGGAGGGACGAAGCCCCTAATTTGACCATTTGTTGCTGACCTTGCCTGAATGGTTTCTGGGGTCGGCTTCTGAAGATTCAGGTCGGCTTCATCCAGGGGAGCCACGGGTCATTCATGGCCCTACCCTTCTTAAGATGAACCGATGGGCTGCCGGGCCTTAAAAGAAAACAAAGGGATCCCTCGTGGGATGCACAAAGTTGGGAGTCCAACTTCATGGATTTGCTTGGCGGCAGCCATAAGATTTGATTGCTTCCCTAGCCCTTTCTGTTTGTGCATTGAGGGGGGGGGGGGCGTATTCATAAAGGGGGGCCATGCATGAAATACACAATCCTCAGCTCTCACTCTCTCTCGGTTGGCAAAAGGAGCCAATGCGCGGGGGGGGGGGGAGACTCATGATTTCAGAAGGGAATCGGGGATCATGGTAAGCTGGTAAGGTTGGCCCGGCCGCTGCATGTTTTCACGTCCCTTTTGCAAAAGCGGTTTGGCTTCCCAGGATTCGAATCCAGATGGCTCAATTCCCAATGCCGAAAGTTCCGATCCCCGAACTCCAACAGCTAAGGCTAGTTCGGGAACCCTGGAAGACTGTGGGGTTTGTTCCTCGTCGTCCTGTTTGTTGGAGTTTTTTTGGGATTCGGGCACTAAAACGTCATCCCCTCTTCAAGGGGATGGGTAATTCCCAACTTTCGTAACGAGCGAAAACCGATAACTCCCACACAATCTATGTAGTCCATATATTTCAAGACTTGAATTATTTGGTGTTGGTAAACGTGGGATGTGGGTATATAGTACATGGACTGTTGGGATTTCTGTTTTTTTTCCCAGTCACCATCTCCCAGATGTCCTCTTTTGCTAGGAGGGGCCGTTGCCGGGTGAGCGCCGGCTGTTGCGAGAGGGCAAAGACTCCAAGGCAGGGACGGTTCCAGGTGCACTTGTCCTTTACTTGCATGCAGGTATCCCGTAGTTGGTGGTTTGTTTTTAGTTGTTTTTTTGTTGGGGGTATCTCAGGTAACCCTTAGTTGGTGGTGTTTTTGTAGAGGGTAAATGGGAACTCGAGGGAAGCTGATATCCTAGTAAATCGAACCAAGGACTAAAACCTGCGGTCCCCTTGGTGCTTTAATTTTGACCCATACCCCATATATAGGTGGACGGATCCTTTCCAGGTTTTGGAGAGACGACCAATTGAAGATCTTTCTGGGAGTCGCTCTAAACATCCTGGGTGTGCTTTGGGCTTCTGAGGCTACCGAGGCCAGATGAGTTGAAGGGACGAGTTGTTCATTCGGTATTTTCTCCAGTTCCCCTGAGGAATTTCCCAAGAGACCCAAAGAACATGGGCCACTTTGTAAGTCCTTTTTTTTAGTCCATGGCTTTGGCACATCCAAGCCACACATACATGTGTGTGTGTGTGTGCGAGTAGTCACCCTTTTCATGACTTACAAGGTCTTGGGTCGATCAAATTTTACTGCCATGTTGATTATTTGGGCGGTTCAAATGCATCCTTTAAGCCTTACCTTGGGTTACGCAAGGGGTTCGCTTTGTAGTGGCTTTTCATAAGGATGGCGGAAAAATCGGATTGGCCAAGCCTCCATTTTGAGCAGTCCATGACTCCTGCGTAGGTCTACACCTTCCCGGAGCTCGCGGCAGAGTTCGGGTCCGAGCTGCTCGGTTTTCCAGAACATGGGGATGGGATTCGCCACGAGTGAGTGGGCTTGTCCATGGTTGGGGGGGGGGTTTAAAAGGTAGACCCCTTTCTGGGTGGTTTTCAAGGTGGCCTTTTTTGATTTTGAAGGAAAATCCAAAGGAAACGTGATGAGATACTGAGGTGCGCAGGCCGAAATGGCCCCTGCGCAAGAATGACAAGCACAGAAACACCTCGGCTTGCAGCATGTATGGCCCAAAAGAGAGTTTTGCTTGACATGGCATAATAAATCACAATGGTAGCGGTGTAAGTGATTGACAGAGAGACAGACGTGTGAGAAAGCTGAGCTTGACAGCTTGACAAGAGCATGGAGCCTTCAACAGAGGGGTCTCCGGCGGCAGGCACCCAGGGTGCCACAAGTGTGGCACAGTTTCTGCAGCAAGCAGGCATCACAACAGCAGAGGATGTGGCAGGTCGCTTGTTTAGCATGCAACAGCAGTTGGACATGCAAGCGCAACAGCAGCAACAGGCACATGCACAGTTGCAAGAAGCAATGAGCATGCTCACGAACTTGAGTGGTCAATTGAATGAGGCAACATCCCGGGCGCAAGTAGCAGAGCAGGAGAGAAGAGATGCGTTGAGGATTGCCGCTGCTAGCCTCGGATCAGAGTCCGGAGGCGGGCACAGCAGCTTAGTAGACAGCAAAGGCGTCGGGCAGCCTTTCAAATACCATGGGGGGTCCGACCAGGACTTCAGTGAGTGGAGCCACAAGGTCACAACATACTTGAAGGCAAAGTTTGGATCAGAGATTGAGAAGGCTCTGAAGTGGGCTGTGCAGCAAAGGAAGGCAGTTGTCGAAAAATTGCCAGGAGGGGCGCTCACCAGCGCCGATGGACGACAGGTTGCATTTGACCCTGTCTTCGGTGACGCGTCCGATGATATGGATCGCATCGCCAATCGCAGCCAGACGGTTGTTGGTGTCTACACATACTTGATTGCCTTCACAACTGGGGATTCGAACAAGATTGTCCGCAACGCAGGCTCGGACGCGGGCCTAGAGGCATGGAGAAGACTGCACAATGAGTATGACCCAACTTCGGCCATGAGAAGGGTCACCATCCTGGGGCTGGTCCAGAACCCGCCCAAGTGTGAGAAGATGGAGAGTCTGGGCGCCGCCCTGGAGGATTGGTTGGCAAAGAAGCGGCAGTATGAGGAGTTCACAGATCAGAGAGGAAAGGCGTGTCGCATTTCTGACGACTCGCTCATGGCGGCAATGTACAAGCTGATGCCAAGCAGCCTGGAGCAACAAGTCATGTTCCATTCAGATGACTATGATAGCTTTGAGGACTTGTATGACAAGCTGGTCTCATTTGCATCAACAAAGCATTCGCTGAAGATGAGCGATCGCCCCGTTGGATCCAACAAGAAGACAGAGGCATCCACCGCAATGGAAGTGGATGCTTTGACCAACAAAGGCAAAGGAAAGGGCTTCAAAGGCAAATGCAATCTGTGTGGAAAGCCTGGGCACAAAGCAGCTGACTGCCGAAGCAGCACTGGTGCAGGAAAAGGCGACCGCCTGTCAACCGTCCAGTGCTGGGTGTGCGGTGGCCATGGGCACTACGGCAGAGACTGCAAGAAGGGAGGAAAGTCTGAAGGTAAAGGCGGCTCCAAAGGGATCAAGGGCAAGCATAAAGGAAAAGGGTTCGGAGGCAAGAAAGGCAAGGACAAGGGCAAGAAAGGAGGCATGAGTTCTTTTGACTGGCAGGAAGAAGCCTGGCAAGCAGACGGGTGGTGGAACGACTGGAGTGAGCAGCCAGAAGCAGAGGTTCCAGCAGCTGCAGACTCTGGCAAGTCTGGCTTTGGAAGCCTTGACCTGAACCACCTTGACGTGCTTGCCCCGCCGCAAGGGAAGGCCGCCCTGGACAGTGTCGACTCATACAGGGTCCACTGGAAAGGCGCAGACTGGCTCAGGATCAACTACGATTCTGGCGCAGCCACGACCGCCATACCTGATGAGCTGGTTGACGGGCCCTTGGAGTCGCAGGGCAAGTTTGTTGTGGCATCAGGAGAAGAGATCCCCAACTTCGGCAGGTTCAAAGTCCCAGCATGTGACGTGAACGGGAAAAGGAGGAACTTCACGGCCTATGCCACCAAGGTTCACAAGCCGCTGGGCTCCGCAGCGGAGTTCAGTAAAGCCCACGACTGCTTGCTCTGGGCAGAAGGTGGCAGCCTCATCCCCAGAAACAGCCCGCTAGCCATAGGCCTTCGGAAGGAGTACTACCGCTTGACCGAGCTGCATGGGCACTGCGACGAGATTCCTTTGTACCGTGAAGGCAACTTGTTCAATCTGTACTTGCAGCAAGATGGAAAGCCGGAACAGCTGAATGCCACCCAAGAAGGAGGAGCCTCGTCTTCCGCCGGCAAAGCAGCCCAGCCGTCGGGAAACTCCCGGCAGGTGAAACAGCTGTAAGGCCGGCGGAAGATGACAAGGACTACTGGAAGCTAGAGGGCCAGAACCAATTGGTCCGATATCATGTTTCACTGAGACGCTGCTTGTTCACCCCGTTTGGAACAAAGGACATGCCTGTCAAGGAGGGGCGTGTTCTCAGCAGCCGGAGAACAGAAGTGATCTTTGAGGATGACACCCAAGAAGTGATAGAAGATGAGTGGCGGCAACGCCAGGTTTCACATCGGAATCTCGGCCGGGAATGGTACGGCCGGACCATTTTCTTTTTAAAGAAAGAAGTTGAGGAGAAGCAGCAGCAGCAACATCAGCCGCCGCCGCAGCGAGGCTGGAGAGCGGAGAGCGGAGCAGAGGAAAGGCAGGAAGGCAGCGAGGTAGAAGAAGCAGCTGATGAGTCAGAGGAGCTCCGAAAAAGCCGTGCGGCAGCAGCTCCGACCGCAGAACAGAGGGAGAGCCACCTGTTGGAAAACCATGCAGTGCACCGGTCATGGTGCGAGGTGTGCATCAAGAGCCGGGGTCTCGGCACCCAGCATCGCAGAGCAAAGAAGCAAGAAGCCGCAGAAAGCGCAGATGGCCCTCGCATCTTCTCAGACTTCTTCTTCATGTCCACGCAAGAAGACAGTGTTCCTATGTTGGCGCTGAAGTTCAGCCGCTCCAAACGGCTGGCAGCCACAGCCCTTCCCAGAAAGGGTGTGTCAGATTTGGGTTGTAAGTTCTTCGCCAATTTCATCAAGATGACGGGAGTGAAGAGATTCGTGAACTTCTCAGACGGGGAGCCTGCCATCAAGAGCCTGAAGGAGGCAGCAGCAAGAAGAGTGGATGGAGTGGAGGCCATTCCTCGCGAGAGCCCACAGGGCGATCACCAGAAAAGTGGTGACATCGAGTCAGGCGTTCGAGAACTGAAAAGGCAAATGCGCGCCATCAGGATGAACTTAGAGAGCCGCGTTGGGAAACCCCTAGCCGAAGATGACCCCTTGCTGATGTGGATCCCCACGTTTGCAGGTGACTGCATAGCGTTCCATCGCAGAGGGTTGGATGGCAAGACACCATGGGAGCGAGAGACAGGGCGCAAATGGCGCCGACCCTGCTTGGAGTTCGGCGAAAAGGTGATGATCAAAGAAGCTTACGAGAGGAGCGCAGGTCCCAAGAGGGACTGGCAGGCGAGGCTGGTACCTGTGAGGTACATTGGGCATCATGCACGGACAGGCGCTGTGATGGGCCTCACGCCGGACGGCGTGAAGTTTGGCACTGGAGTTTCCAGGCTACCTGAGACAGAAAGATGGAGCCAAGAAGGGCTTCAGGACCTTCGTGGTTTGCCTTAGGACTTGCAGCCGAGGCTGCGCGAGGTGAGAGTTGAGGGAGCCGGAGATGGGGTTGTTGTTCCTCGCCTACCCTGCCTTCCGGCGGGAAGCCCAGCGCCAAGGAGCTTTTATGTAAAGCGCGATGATGTCAAGCCTGAAAAGTATGGGTACACCCAAGGCTGCCGGTCGTGTGACCGCTTGATGAGGACTGGGCACAGTGAGGTGGCTCATGATGCCTCATGCAGAGAGCGCATCTTTAGGCTCATGGAGCAGGACGAAAGTGAGAGAGTAGATGCTTTTCGCCAAATAAAAGGAGCGTTGGGCGCAGGTGCGGAGAGACCCCCTGACCCAGCAGAACAGCCAGCAGCAAGCCAACCTGTTGTGTCTCAGCCAGGCACAGAACCAGGCGCAGTCCGAGGGACGGTGCGCAAGCGTGAGGCAGTAGCGGAGCAAGATGGCGGGTCGCCAACCAAGAAAGCAAGCTTGCCCGTGACCTGGAGGCAAGAAGGTCACGGCCGGTACAAGAAGCGGCAGGCAGAGGTGCCAGCAGAGGACTTGGACCCAAGAGTCCCAGGCGCAGAGAAGGTAGAAGCAGAAGAGGAGCAGCAGCTGAAGCAGTCAGCAGAGCAGAAGCAGTTAGAGGAGCAAAAGCAAGCCCCTGCAGCTGAAGGCTCGGCAAGGACGCCAGGCGCAGAGCCTGTTTCGGTAGAGGATGCTCTGAAAGAGGAGCTTGCCGACATGGATTCGTTGGTATGCCACAAATACCACATACGCAGTGTAGAGCTGGGGCAGCAGAAGAATGAGTTTGTCGCGCAAGCTGCGCAGCATGTGAAGAGTTGTTTTGACCGCAACGGAGTTCCAATTTCAGAAGAGGAGCTGTCCCAGATTGCAGCCTTGCAAGTGCAACTTGCGGGGTGCCATGTGTCCCAGTTGTTGCGAAGCAAACTTGTGGCACAGAGTGGGCTTGTTTTGGATCTGGCAGAAGCCCAACCTCTAGATTTGCAACAAGCGCAGCAGCAGCTTGATTTTGAGCAGCCTGCCTTAGTGATTGGCAGCCCAGCAGCAGAGCCTTCGCAGCTGTTTAAAAGGCCAGCAAAGAAAGGAAGTGAGGAGCAACGAGTGATGAGTCGGCCAGATGGGCCAGAGGCTCTCAGAACAACCATAGCGTTGTACAGGAAGCAGGTGAAGGAAGAGAGGCTTTTTTTGCACGTTCACCCCGACAGCGCAGTGTCGTGGCAGGACCCGGAGCTTGTGGCGCTGCAAGGTCTCGAGGGTGTGCGGACTGTCAAGGGTCCGTCTTGCTACTGGCGTCTTTACAGCCCTGAAGGAAAGCCAGCGTCAACAGTGCACAAGAAAAGCAGCACACTGGCAAGGGCGGACGTCAAGTTCCTCACGAACTCCAGCGCAATAGCTGATGCCCTGCAGAAGTTGACTTTGGAGCTTTCCGGAGCGATGCTAGCACGCAGTTTGCAGAAGTTTGATCGCCAACTTGGGCCGGCCAATTCCTTGTTGCCAGAGGAATTGGTGCGCGTCTTGGATGCGCTTCGAAGTCATTTGCAAGAGGGCGGTCACCTCAGTGACTTGGACTTGAAGTACGGTGGCCCCGTTCCTTCGCAGCCGCACTTCGACTTTAGTGCCAAAGAACTGCAAGAGGACTATGACAAGTTCTGGGACAATATCACTGGTGAAGAGTTGCCAGTTCCCCTGGTCAAGAAAGCCAGAGAGGAGGAGATACGGTGGGTGCGCTCCATCGGCTTGTACGACAAGGTGCCAAGAGCAGAAGCAGACAGCAGAGGCATACAACCCATCAAGATCAGATGGGTCGATGTAAACAAGGGTTTGCCAGGGGACCGCAAGCACTACAACATTCGGTCTCGTCTTGTAGGGAAAGAACTGAAGGCCAAAACTAAGGGTGCCCTGTTAGCTCATGAGCTGTTCAGCGCCATGCCGCCATGGGAAATGGTGAAGTCCTTGCTGTCCTTACTGGTCAGTGATGGAGTCTCCACTGATGATCTGGTTCTGGGTGTGTTCGACATCAGCCGGGCACACTTCATGGCTCCCGCGTCGCGGGAATTATTTGTGGAATTGCCAGAAGAGGACCGACTTGCAGGCGAAGAGAACTTCATAGGGCGGCTGAACCGGAGTATGTATGGCTTCCGAGATGCGTCGCACAACTGGATGGAGGATTGGCAAGGCTTGCTCCAAGAAGAAGGGTACGCAATTGGTGTGGCCAATCCTGCTCTTTTCTGGAATGAGAGGCAACGCTCCAGAGGAGCTGTCCACGGGGATGATTTCTATGTCTTGGGCTCAGTCCAAGCAGTGGATAGCATGGCAGCGGCGCTGAAGTCGCGATACTCTGTCCGGGAGAGTCACCGACTGGGCTTTGGCCAGGGTTGCACTCAGCACGCCAGCATTTTGAACCGAGTGGTGTTCTTGGGGGAGCTCAACGGACGCCGCTTTGTCCAGATAGAGGCGGACAAGCGCCACACGGAGATCATCCTCACGGCTCTAAGCTTGGACAAGGGCAGTGCCAAGGGAGTCACTAGTCCTTCAACGAAGCCGTCAGACTCCGAGGCTGAGAAGTTCCAGCATGGCTTGAAACTCTCCGCAGCGGAGACGGCACTGTTCCGATCTTGCGTGATGAGGGCAAGTTTCCTCAGCCAAGATCGAGCTGACCTTGGAGAAGCGGTGAAATGCCTTGCCCAAGGCATGGCTGCCCCGACTCGGGCGCACTTTCAAGCTTTGAAGAGGCTTGGCAGGTATTTGCTACACCGGCCGAACATGGCCATCAGATTTTGGCAGCAGGCTTTTTCGCCTGTCATTACTTGCATGGTGGACTCGGATCACGCTGCTGATCGCATTTCGCGAAAATCCACCACAGGGATGGTGGTTCGGCTGGGCTCGCACACGATCAAGACCACGAGCAACCTTCAGACTTCTGTTGGTTTGAATGTCTCGGAGGCAGAGTTTTACGCTTTAGTTCATGGTGGTGCTCATGGGCTAGGGCTTCGGTCCTACTTTGCTGACCTTGGTTTGAGCATGGAAGTTGTCATCCAGAGTGACAGCAATGCTGCACGAGCTTTCGCTTCTCGTAGAGGCTTGGGCAAGCAGCGGCATGTCATGACACGATACCTGTGGTTGCAAGAAAGAGTTCGATGCAAGCACCTGTCAATCACCAAGATACGATCTGAAGACAACTGCTCTGACATTCTCACTAAGAGCATGCCTGCCAGCACTCTTGACAGGCACATGGAGGCTATGGGCTTCCTACAAGTGGAAGCATCGATGTTTCACAAGTCTACTAAGGTTTAAAGCGGATTTCCCTGGAACCAGGCTCCGCTACTTTCGCCCGAGGAGGGGTGATGAGATACTGAGGTGCGCAGGCCGAAATGGCCCCTGCGCAAGAATGACAAGCACAGAAACACCTCGGCTTGCAGCATGTATGGCCCAAAAGAGAGTTTTGCTTGACATGGCATAATAAATCACAAAAACGGCCCATTTTGGACTGGCCCCTTTGAGAATCACCCCTTGCTGAGAGGAAGTCTCTTAAAAGGTTCTCTTGCCCGCTTCCATGATAGCTGGAAAGAGAGTGGGTCCAAGGGTGTGCGTGCCTTGGGTTTGAGGGATTGCTCGGCTGGGCTCAGCTGAAAGGAAGTGACAAATAGTGAAGGCACAATAGCTAAATGGAAGCTAACCGCAAGCATGCCACTGAAGTCCAAAGACAACCATGTCAAATGTAGCTGCAGGCAGTCTATGCACACCTTCACCTCGGCGACTCACAAACAGTGGCAGCAGAGAACCAAGCATGCACGGGGCCGCTGGAAAATAAAACAAACCTGGTCTCCATTCATTGGGATGTTGAGAATTCGACATCGCCCTTTTTGTCGCTACAAATACGTACTTTCCTGTCGATTGGTCTTGGATACACATGGGGAGTTTGCATTTCGGGTGTGCCCAAAAGCAGGTCTCAGTGAAGAAAAGGGAAGCAAAGGGCAATGCACACAGCAGAGAGGGGTTATGGCTGTGGCTGGTTGATGGCTGATTTCAAGTCCATCTCAGAAGCCAGCCCACGCAAATCTACAGGAAGTTATCCAAGTACACCAAAGTCCAGGGCTTGGACGTATTCTTCCGGAAGAATTGCCAGCTCTACTGCTGACTTCGATGCCTTTTCGAGGTACTCCCCGGAGGACTTGCGCCGCTATTGGCTGGACGCCATGCCACGCCTCTCGACTTGAGGTCGACTTGGGCTGAACTCTCCATACACTTCTCCAGGTTCACGTGGAAATGGGGCGTGTGCCTTCTTTTTGACCGGCCCCTTTTGAAGACTCGTTCCTTTTTGGAGGGTTCCCTTGTGAAGACTCGTTCCTTTTTTGAGGGTACCCTTTTGAAGACTCGTTCCTTTTTGAGGGTACCCTTCTAAGAAACTGGTTCAAGGGGAGATCAAAAGGAAGACCACAAGTGTGGGGGTGGCCCTATGTTTACGCACATCCAAATTGGGCAGTAAACTGAGCAGGGCAGCATAGGGGCTCTACATAGATAATGCACTTCTTCAGATCGACCGGCCTAGGCGGGGCGGAAAGAGGGAAACTGCGCCTTGTTGATTTGTTGCGGTGCCTTGCTTAGGGAAAACTCTTTCTGGGTGTGCGAAGCATAGCATCTTGTCCACAGATTTGCTATTTATTCTTTGGCTTTGGGCAAACATCACTGGAGCATGGTGGAAAATGACAATTGGCTGTAGCTGAGCAAAAGCGCAGGGAAGGCCAGGCTAGAAAATCATATGTTTTGGATTTTAAGTTTGTGGGAAACAGTGGATTTTCCATTGGACCCACAAGAAGTCATTAAAAAGGTGATCACCTGTGTTTGTTCAAGTCTTCTGGCTGTTGTTTTTTGTTTTTCTCCGACTCGGAATCAAGCAGACGGGTGATACTTGAAGTCAAGGTCGTCCAGAAACGACACCGCTACCAATTTGCCGCAGTTTCCCATGTTCTTGTTTGTTCTGGGTGGGGGTCCAGCTAGGTTCGGCTATACATTGAACAACCACCCAATGCGTGCCCCTTTGCCAATAGTTTGAAGCTGACCGGGGAAGCGGTCAAGAATCCCGCGTAGTCCGCCCCCGAGAAAAAAATAAGAAAGAAAAAGAACTACCTCTTCCCGCCGTCGGCCCATGTTTAGGTATGTTTTGTTCGAGGTATGGGCCATGGCTCTTATGCCATCAATCAAACAAATGGCAAAGCGTGTTTTAGTCAGCAATTGGGCCTTCTAGAAGCGATTGTTACATGGCTGTGGGTCAAAACCAATGGGATCCCATTTTGGGATTTTCGGTGCACCACCCATTTTAGAACCTATTTTGGTGGCATTGGGATTTTCACTGGGGGTACGGGATTCTGGATTTTGACCCATGGCCACATCGCCTCCGTTTCAGGAGTCTTGACTTGAACCGTTAAATTGGGCGACTAGTGACCCTGCTGCATACCCTGAACACCTCTAGTTCCCACTACCCCAACCACTACTTGCTGTACTGACGTTTTTTTTGTGCTTTGCATGTTTTCTCCTGGGGGTGTGACGGGGGTAGTGGAAATCGATTCAGATGAGCATATGCTCCCAGGTGAGCAGCACGCACCAGGCGCCCAGTCGCTGGTGGTGGCGCACTGCCGCCTCACAGACGACAGGCCCGGCAGTTCCTGCCCAAAATTGGACGCAGTGGCCAAGTAGCCGCGGTACAGCTGCAGCAGTCAGTTGGCGCAACCTCCCCATTTGGCTTTGAGTCAGTCGGCAATCTTGAGCCAGTTTCTTGGCAATTCATGGAGGAGTACTTGCATGTGAGCAGCCTGACCGGTGTCTTCAGTTTAGTCAACAACATTGAACTCGGAATGTCTGATACCACCCAATTGGGGGGGGGGGGGGTGAGAATACTGGAAAATCCTCCCCCCAAAAGAGTAGACTTACAGGTTTGCTTCGTTTTCCTGAAAAAGAATGTCCAAAGGAGAAACCGGGGGCTCTTCGACATCCTGTTCAACTCAGAGTATGAGCTTGAGGAAATGTTGGAAAGTCACATCTCCAACAGGGGGTCAAGTTGATGAGAAATACCTGCACCTTTGGACTTTGCCAGCCAAAGCCTCACCTCTTCCATGTTTCTCTTTGTGGTTTTCTCTTTGTGGTTTTCCTCCATCCAATTCTTCCTTTCAACCAGCAAAGTAAGCGTTTTGCAGGGGTCTAAGCCGAAACACGAGTACCCGTGGCTGGCCAAAAGTGGGGCGAAACCAGCAAGGGACGACCAAACCAGCAGGGGATGGCACGCCGGCGATGTGTCACAGCAGGCCAACCAAGTAATCAATCTTGCTTAACTAGGTGCTCCAGTAGAGAGGTTAGAATAAGGGTACCCTTTTTTCTGTAGTCTATTTTAGTAAGGGAACCCTGCCCCAAAAAAGGGCACTACTGGGGGACCTAGTTAAGAGTCCTCAGAGATACCCACCAGCTTCCCACCAGCTTGGGAGTTCTAGTGATGTGCCCAGCTCGGTTTGCAGATGCTGGGTTGTCGAAACTCCCGAGGGAGTACCATTCCAACATGCCCTGAAAGGATGTGGTTGCTTTTTGAGCGCCCGTTTGTTTGTCAGCTTCAGTTTTGTAGTAGTAGTTGTTGTTTTTCTTGGATTGCGGGGGGGGAGGGCAACTCCTGACACCAAGTCAAGCCCCTTTAAAGGTGCAAGGTAGTCGAGGGCCACGGGATGCAATGAAAGGGCATCACAAAAAGGGGCGCGCTTTGCCACATGTTCAGCTTCCATGTCAGAGCACTGGCACTCATCAGGACGCTGTGGAGTCACAGCAACTCACTTCCCGTGTTCCTGGACTTTAAACCCATTGAAAAGAAACACTATTTTAGTGGTAAGCTGAGGAAGTCAGGCAAGGATTGGATGCTTTGAGAGCTTGCAGCTTCGCGTTGGCCGCTCCGGTCCGCGGGGCCGGACGCACAGGAACTGCCAGAGGTTGGTGGGCGTGCCAATGCTGTTCTGCATAGAGCCTTGGCCGCACGTGGGGGTCATATCGGGGTCATATCCTCACAAAGCCACTGGTTAGACTTTGCTGGACAGGGCCATTGTGGCAAGCAAGTTGGGGGCGAAACGCCAATCCACAAAGGGGGGGTGGGAAGAAGCTGACAGGGGTTGGGAAGGCTGGTTTTGGGGAAGCTGTCCACTTCCAAAAGGGTGTAATTCATCTCGGCAGATAGTTGGGATACATGACCCGTGGCAACAAATGGGTTTCAACGGGACTCAATGGGTGGTTTCTTGGATCATTCAAAACAGCCCAAAATAACGGCGGCCCAAAAAAAGACTGACACAACCAAAGTCGGATGCTACACATATGTGGTGTCCCTTGGTGCGGAAGAGGGGGTTGATTCAGTCGCTGAAGAAATGTGGCACCTCAGGGCCTTTGAGAGGCATCTATAGTTGGGAGCGTCATTTTATTGAGGGTATTACTATTTTTTTTGTGGTTTCAAAGGGAACCAAAACCAGCGCACTGCATAGAGCCAATCATGTTGGGAGTCCGCTGGAAAAGGACACCTAATTGGTTCCGACTCCCTGCTTCCTGTGGTTGCCAAGGGCCAATTCCTGAATAGGGCCCGGTTCCCTAATCCCAATAGGGGCGATTTAGCGACTAGTAAGTTGTATTAGGGGCTGCTGGGGTTGCTTTTTGGGTGTTCCCCTTTTATGAAAACCCCCGACAACCATGCTAAACTTCTACCCTTGTGACGCTCGAGTCTCCACTGCTCATTCCTGCTTAGTGGGTGAGCTCCTTTTTTTTTTGCTTGTATTGGTCAGCCACTTGAAGCGTCCACTTTGCCTCAGGATGCCCCAGAAGAAACATTCACATGTTTTGGGAGCGTCTCAGGACAGGGGTGTCCTTTTGGTTTCTTCACCCGAAAAAGGAGCCCTCAAAAGGTGGCACCCACAACGTAAACACAGAAGCACGGCAGAAGGTTTGCAACTCAGCTTCCGCTGCGGGAGGCCGGAACCGTTCCTTTTAACGTCCAGCACTTTCCGTGGATTGCCCTTTGCCCGGATGGTGGATGCGTGAACATGCGCGTGAACGGTGGTGCCCACTTAAAAGAGGGACAGGTCCAATCCCCCAAGCCTTGTGTTGACAAAACGGCATTGCAACTCCATTTGTAGTTTCTTTTTCCGTCATGCGGCAAGGACCTCACCCTCCCCCCCTACTTTCCTGAAAGATAGGGCCCAGGTGGGATCCCCTAAGTATGGACGCCAGTCATGTTTTGAAGAAACCATTTATACAGATCTTGTTTTTCGTGGGTATGCGGTCAAGAAATGTCCAGTGGACCCTCAATCTTGCACCAGTTTGCTGGATTATTTGGCCAAGGTTCCTGGACGAACATCTTGCACCTGTTGCGTGCTTTTGTACCGTGGCTGTGCTCTTCGCCCAAAAAAAGAATCTTGCACCAGTTCAATGGGTTGTCCCCCATTATTTACCGGGCTTCATCGATCCCAAGTCGCGCCTGGCATGACGAGGAGACCTGCACGAGCGCGGGGCGCCTGCGGGACGCCATCCGCACGCAGCTCCGATGGGTCTACGGAGACGCCGCCCTGGATGGCTGGGAGCTCTTCCAAACCAGCGGCCGCGGCTCGGGCAAGAGTTTAACAACGTGCAATCGGTGCGAGAGATGCAGGGAAGGAGACGTGGAATGACCCTCAAAAACCATCCCTTGCTGGTGGTTTCCTTTAAGGGGACCAAAATTCCTGGGTTCATTCCCACATTCCCTACTGAGCACCAGCAAGACAAAGGCGTTGTTTGAATGGCTTTGACTCGTGGATTTTTGTTTGACCCCTGAACAACTGAGTTTTTTCAGGGGATGTAATGAAACCCCTGGTTGATGTGTGTTTCAGGGGATGCAACAAAGCCCCTGGTTGATAGATCATTAAGGTGTCCCCAGTTTCTAGAGCTTGTTCTTGGGCGACTGGATGCGGAAAGCCTCTAGAGCCCCTTTGCATGGCGGTGTTTCTGTCTCGTCCTAAAGCCGATACTGTTTGCTTCCAGCCGTGATGTGGAATGCAGGTCCGAAAATATGACACTTGTGAATGTAAACCCGGCAGTCAAATGGGCATCTTGTTATCAGCGTTTTGTTTTTGTGCCTGCTTTCCTGAAAAAAGTTGGCATGCAACCATACCACCGAGGGGTTAGGTGTGTGTTTTTGTATGTCTTCTTTTTTGTAGGGCACCTTTGTTTTGCGTTTTTGATTGGAAAGCCAAATGGGGAAATCCGAAAACCCTCCCATTTTGGGGGGTGGTGGGCCCGGAAAAAAAGAAAGAACCAACAAAAAGAAACTAATCAGCCTCTGGTCACGGCGTGCTGCGTCTCTTTTTTGGTGCCTTAGGCTGGGACGCCTGCAGGGCGAACGAGGTCTTCTGCCGCGAGGAAGATGCTGAGGAGCTGATCCTGCGCGACAGCTCCTCGGCCCCTGTCTTGAGTAAAAATGGCCAGCCGTTGGGGGCTTAGTGACACAGGCACTGAACCCAAGAGAAAGTTAAACCCCTACCACCACTTAAGAACAAACACCCCCCCACTCAGGGGCACCAGCTCTGGCAAATCCGCTCTTTATTTTTTGTACTTTAGGGTAGGATAGGTATGGAACAGAGTCGGAACATATCATTTTCTGCGTACCCAGGGTGTGGGCCAAGAGTTGAGGAATAGAGGGCCTCATCTTTTAGAGAGGATCCTCCAATTCTGGGGGGGGGGACACCCCCAAAAGCATCGATGACGTCATCAGCCTGGGCCAGCATCATTGAGCTGTGACTTACAGAGGGTTGGGGTTGTCGGCGGCTGCGAACCTGAGAAAAGGGCTCCTTTGTTTCCAGATACTGAATGATATCAACTTGCCTAGGGTCATGGCAGGTGCCCTTGGTAGTGCTTCTAAAGTGGGAGTGATAAACATCGGAACATCGCTTCTAGTGTCAGCGAAGTGCCTTTGGAAGGAAAGGAAGGCTGAGAGACATTTTCCTGGCAGGATGATAACTTCGGACGGGTCATGTTTTTCGAAAGTGTTTGGCAGAATTTCAGGTAACCCTTAGTCGGTGGTTTATGGATTTGAATCCCTGGCTTTTGTAGAGGGTAAATGGGAAACCACCCAACCTCGACACCTCGACACCATCAATCCAAACCGCACGTCAGAGGAAAGCTGATAAACATGACTCCCGGGAGCAGAATGGTCGCTTCCCCCCCTGCTCGAGCTCAGTCTTTGGGGAGCAGCCCAGGCTTTGGGTAGACCCCTTTCATCTTTGATGAGAAACCCCTGAATGAAGCAAAGGAAGCCACCAGATAAACAAGCACATCACAATACGTTCTGGGAGGGGCCAACAAATGACGAATAGTATACTCCAATGGCAAAAAGTAGCTTTGACAGCTACCATAGCTAGCCCACAAGCCCGAGCTGTATATCAATGCGTAGTCCCGAGTCGCAGTCCTTTGGATCAGCCAAACCTGCTTTCGACGGGGGCACTGGCGGCTCGCTTTGGTCATTGTCGCTTTCGTCAGGCGAGCACCTGGTGGTACACTGGGACTGGGAGCTGGAGCTGAACTCCAGCCTTCTCTCGCCGCCGCCGGAGGACCGACATCACCCACGTCCGGATCAGTCCGTTTTCCGATTCGTTTTCCGGGCGGATAACAAATCGGCGGGCTCAAGGGGCGTTAGGGATTCCAGCAATTGTCTTTTTGAAGATCTGTCTCGGGATTTTTGAAAACTGGTTTTCGCATGTGGCTTACTTTTGTGGGGTGCAAAAGCGGTAGCGGTAGGATCCCTTTTGTTTGAAGAGCTATTCGTGCTTCATGGCCTGTGCAAAAGCTGAGGCCTGAAAAGGGAAATGGGCTGCGATTCGACAAAGGTTTGGCTTGGCTCTCTTTGAATGGCTTTGTTTTGGATGCCGAATCCATCTTTTATCTGGAGTCCTTCCTGGAGGACAGCCCAATGTTCCACGATGCCTCCTGGGAATAGCCCTTGGCAACCTATCAAATGACATCATGCCACATGATGCTACACTTTGAGCTTCACTAAGTGTGGCCCACTACTTGGGGCAAAGTGTGGGGTAGTTCCAGTGGACATTGTGCAGCTTTGCTACTGGGTCAAAGAATGATCGGAGTTTGCTTTGTGGAACTACAGAGGATCCACCCCGCAAATTGACATGGAACTCAACCAAAAACGATCTCCAAAACGGAAACTCCTCTAGAGATGATGTTTATCGGTTTCTGTTTTCATGTTCTTCTGCCATGGCCTTCCTTAGGAACTAAGATGCGTTGGTTGTTTCTCGCCGGTTTTTCGGCACGTCGCACGTCCGTTAAACCGCTGTGCATCAAAACATTCGGAGGCGATTGTCCCTGAAAAAGCTTTTCCAACTTGAGGGTTCTCTTGGCCACTGGCTTCAAACTTGGCCTTTGGGCCTCTGGGCCTCTGGGCTTTCCCTTGGGCTTCTTTTGGCTAGTCTTCAACTAGGTCCCCCAAGGTGCCCTCAGGCTCTCCGGCGGGGGAAGAAGAAATAGAGGCAACCACTGCTAGGTCCCCAATAGTGCTGGTTAAACCTTTTTCGGCCCTAAAATAGACAGACAACAACTCGGGTACCAACTTTTTCTGACCTCTCAAATCTGGAGGACCTAGTCAACCTCTTGGGCTTTCCCCTTAGGCCGAGCTTGGAATTGGCAATTCGCAGCCCGAACCTGGGACTCGGTAAGGAGACCTGCGACTTGGAGCGCCTCGATAGGTAGGGAATGAGAACGAGTCCGGGTGTTGGGAATGAATCAATTGGAATTCCCTTAAACTTCCATTTGCTTAAGAATGGGTTCAAAAGGAATTCATCGGATTTTGTTTTATTTTTCCTGGGGCCTTAACCAAATGGAAGTAAAGAAACCATAGGGGATGGTTTGTCGGGGTCACTCTCTCATTAGCTGCTGAGACTTGGCAAGTCAATTTCATGCTGGGAGATGCCGCTTTTTGTTCTGCCTGGTTATTGCATGTTGTTTTTTGGTGGAAAATGGGGTGGGCGGGTGGGCCCATTGTTTGACACCATGGGACACATCCTTTAATATGTGGGGCCTCTACCTTTTGGTCGACCAGCAATTGCATGGTGATTGTGGGAAATTTGGTTTTACCCCCCACTTTTTGCGATATGGGAATTCCCTTTAAGTGTCTAACTTGACAACATATTCGCAAGGATGGTCAAAATTGATCACGGAAAGGGCTGTCTCCTACAACCCCAGTCAATGTCCCTTTTGTCGGTCCTCCAAACGTTGCAGTTTAATTGAAACACACCACTCAGTTCCAACTCATGGGGGAAATCCAGTGACAGTTGTGGAATGGCAATCCTGAGTCTGGCGCTCCTTGTTCCTGTGATTTTTTCTCCTACTTAGGTTCCCCAGCTAGGGCCCCTTTTACCAACTTGTTTGGGGGAAGGTTCCCCTACTAAAATAGACTACCGAAAACAACTTGGTACCCTTATTCCAACCTCTCTACTGCAGGACCTAGTCTCAGTTGATTCTGTTTGGCTTCTTTTTGCTTGTCCGGGTTGACGGTACCGGGGACCCCACCTCGCGTGCGGAAGCGGGGTGAAGGCAGAGGATTGAAGTTGCACGGGGCGCATCCTTTCTATCTCTTGTGTTTTTGTGTTGTTTTCCCGTCCCCCCCACCCCCCCACTTCCCTTTTTCAAGTGGCTGTCTAGGCTGCGTTGGCACAGCTTCCAATCCTCGAAGCGTTGACCCGCTTAGCTCGCCTCGCCATTCACCCGGTCGCCTGGGCGCCCTTTCAGCATACGCCTTGTTGGACTTCCTGCAGTAGGCAGCGTGTTCCAATCTCTCGCTTTTGGGGGGGGGATTCGGTGGAAGGGCTTTTTCACAAGGATGCTTCCGATTCTGTGAATTCGCCCTTGGTCGACATCACCCTTTGCAACAAACACATGCCCCGCCCCATGTTTGAAATCTGGAGGTCACCGTCACCTTGATTGAATTGGTCTGGGCTTGGCTGGCCAGGCAAAACATGGCACTGATCAGCTTGCTGCGTGCTAGATCAACAATGCTTTCCCAAGGAAACCCAATGGGTGGATGTGAACTTTTGTCAGACACCGTATTTGCCGCCCAATTTAAGAGCAGATGGATTCTGCACATGGACTAAGAACGGAAAACCCTAAGCGGCATGTAGGTGCGCGGCCCTTGGTTTGCAAAGGGAACGCGCGCAAACCCAAACCTACACATCTTTATGTATGCATACGCATACGAACATGAAGATATGAACATACATATGTATAAATACACATATGCACATGTTTCGTGTGCATATATGTGTATACAAATGAACAATTTCCCATCCCAGGTGAGCCGTCCAGTGCCCCGCAACAGCCTCCAAAGGCCTCCAGAGCCCTCCCCGGCCAAAGCCGCGCTTCGCGGATCGAGCATAGGTGTCCTTCTTGGTTGTTTTGGTCGAAAAACAGATGGCGATTCCTGGTTTACCCGGTGGTTTCATCATCTATTAGGGAAACCCATGAAAATTTCCCCTACACGGACACCTACAAAATCGAGCGCTTCGGGGCCGCTTTGCGGATCGAGCCGAGGGCCTGCTTCGAGTGGCTTACGGCCACGGAGCAGCTCTCGTTGGACAACGCGCTGCTCTGCGCCTGCCAGCGCCGCTTGATTCGATGCGCGCGGGTTTCTTGGGGCTGCGCGCAAGCTCGTTGTTTTTTGCCCCCCCCCTTTTTTTTCTCGGGGGGGGGGGGTGCGGGTTTTTCGGTGGGCTTCTTTTTGGTTGGAAATGCCAAGGGGCAAGACCGTAGCACCCAAGGGATCAGGAAGAATGATTTAAAAATTCTATAGTGGCCATACGGGTGCGTGCTTGTTTTGTGGGGAAGCCAAACAAAAGCCACTGCAGATGGTTTGGGGGTTCCCCCCGCTTGAACATCAGAAATCGAGGATGACTTTGGTAAAATACTGCATTGACCGTTTTGGTGGATGTTGGGTTTTGAACCTGGGTTCAACCCGGGCTCAGCTCGAAGCTTGGGTTCAACGCAGTTTCTATTCTTACTTTCGTGTGCCTCAGCGCGGCCTCAGCGCGAGCTTTTCCTTAGCGGTTTGACTCCCATGCTTGGTCGCTTTTCGCCTCAGCGCCAGTGGCAACATCCCTTTTTCGAGGGTGAACCCCGGAGTTTCGAACCGTCACCTCTCAAGATGGCCATTTTAAAGTAGGCTTCCGCTTTGGAGTTTGGCTAAAAGGGACAGGGATATGTAAATATATGTATTTGTAGGTCAATTGCTTTCTCGCTGCCTTACTTGTTTATTTATTGTTGTTTGCTTGCTTGTTTATGCTTGTTTGTTTTTTGTTTGCATCCGCATGTGTGTGTGTGTGTGTGTCTCTGGGTGTTGTTCTCAAGAGTATCCTGCTTGATCTTGATGGAACAATTACCGATTCTGAACCATAGGGGGGCGGGCCATAAAAAGATCATGGCCCTTGATGGTCCGTCTTGGACCCTAACAGTCACTAGTCACTGGTCGCTGTAATGCTGCACTGGCTTCCGCGATGGCTCTGACAGGGTCTGTGAAATATCTTCCAAAACCACAACCAGCTCACTAGGGGGGTAAAACAGGGAGATCGTAGGAATCATGGAGATAGACAATACCTGAGCCCTCAGCTCTGAGGGTCTGGGATTGGCCCCCAGCATGTTGGCGCAAAAAACCACGTGTTTTTCCCCAAAAACAACTCCGAGGCTCCAGGCCATAGGTGTCCTTTTTGGTTGTGTAGAAAAAATCGATGGCGATTCCTTTTTTTTCTGGTGGTTTTATCATCTACCAGGGAAACCCATCTATTTGCCCTAAAAGGATACCTATGCTCCAGGCGGGTGCGTGGGCTTGGCCCGGCTTTCCGAGGCAAGGTGCAGGCCTTCAGCCGCGTGCGCCTGGCGGAGCTACCGCCGGGCTCCGAGAAAAGGAGCCGACTCGGAGAGCGAGACATGCGTCGAGTTCGCTTCAAAACGTCCAGTGGGACCCCAAAACGGCTTCGGTCTTGTTTAGCTTGTTTAATATTGAAAAGTACACATGTGAGAACTTGTAAGGAAAAGCTACGGCATGTTAGTTCATGAATTATCTTAATTTCTTCTTGTCCTGTTGGTTTCCCCTTGAACACCACTAAGGGGTACCCTCAAAAAAGGACGGGCCCACATCTTGACCGTTCCTGGCATGTTTGTTTTTTTTAGTTTTGTTGGTTCTGCTCATGTTTAGTAAGGGGCTGCAAAAAAACAACGTGTTTGCTACCAGACCAATATTTGTCGGGGTTTCCTTTAACCGCCTCAAAAGGAGTACTTCTATTTGCTCAAGATTTGTTTTATTTTGCCTTGCTGGTTTTCAGGGAGTCGATTTCACTACTAGGCGTATGTTTTTTTTTTTTTCAAGGGGGCTTAAGCACATGGAAGTTCATCTTCCAGGTGCCTCACAGGTGTCGTGGTGGGAGGAAGGGGACCGGCTCTTTTTGTTTGTGTTTGAAAAAGTGCATCTGCAAGCGTTCAAGTTTTTCTCTGGCGAATTTTGCTCGGATGTTAGGACTTTAACTTTTTGCCTACTGATGGGTTTCCATTAAACCACAAAAAGTTAAACTTTTAGCAAGGGAGCGGAAAGCAACTGAGTTTTTGCTGTCCCACAGAAGCTCTGGGGGGCAGATTTCAGGGAGGGTTGCAGAGGGTTCCAAAAAGGTGCCGGGGCTGGGCATAAAACCAATTTAAATGGTTGGGTTTTGTATGCAAGCCCAAGTTTGCATGGTGTTTTTATAAAACCAAATGCGGGTTACGAGAGAATGTGGCCCAATTGGTAGTGGGTTTCCAAAAGGTATTGTGGATTTGGATTGGCCAAGACTCCATGTTGATCAGCCCAGTTTGAGGAAATGTACTTGGCAAACGCTGGTGGTTCCTTCTGATCTCGTAGCTTCATTGTTCCGTTTGAAGGCTTGAGCAATGGATTGGGGGCGCCCCACCCTCCCTGTGCCCCGGAAGGATTGCACAAGAAGCCCCCGCAGGGGCTCTTTCAAGGGAGACTCCCCCAGAAGAGAGCCAGTTCTGGCTTCCAACAAGGATTTGGCTTCCTGGAAACGATCTTTCGCAACGAGGGACCGAATCCAGCCCATGTTCCCCTCGTCCTTCAAGGCATGGCGAGTTGATCTTCCTGTTGATTTCTTCGCGGATTCCTAGGCATGCCTGTGTTCCCACCTTTTCCCTTTTTGTTGGGAATTCCAAAGTGGCAAAGAACAAGTTCGGAGCTTTGCCAATCCACTCAAGACATGACCAAGAAGGGGCACCAAAACCGAAGCCGACCGACGCCAATGATTCGAGGCCTGTGCTGATGCTCCAGCTTAACCGCTTTGAGTACAAGTACGGGCAAAGGAACAGGCTCCAGGCGGAACGGAACGGTTTGGGAGGGGGGGATTTCGGGAGTTCCCGCATGATGTGCTCGTGTTTTTGGGTTGTTTGTTTTTGTGTGATTTTCTTTTTGCGGGGGCGTTCCACTTGCCCAGCTTAGCGCTTCCGTCTTTAGATTGATCAGCGGAAGCCCCAGGTCACTTCTGAAAACGCAGGATGCTGAACCCGTGAGTTTCATCGAGACCAACGGACCACGGGATGGGTGTTTGGATGTTTCCAGGCCCGCCCAGAGTTGGAACAGCTCGAATCAGTCAAGTCAAAATCTGCTTCCAATATGTACTTCCTGCTTCTTGGGTTCACCGGAGAAGAAGCACATAAAATTGAAGTAGGATTCATGCAGAAGAAAATAACTAACGATTTGAACTAGCCTTGGTCGGTCCATGAGCCCAAGTCTTATCCAGTCGTGGCCGCAAACCCCGCCCGCATTCATGGGGGCCCAGTATCTCTCATTTTCGCCGGGTAAATGGGAGAATGAACCAGTACATGGTTGTTGTTGGGACATTTTACATTTTGCTTATTGTGGTTTAGTGGTTGAAATCCCCACTCAACTGCTAAAGTTCAATTTTTGGCTCCCTTTCCAACGTGAACCAACAGTGCACGAATGATTACAGTAGCAATTTGAGCTCAGCGCAGGGACACCTCGAAGCCACGAAGGGACGAGTTAATTTGACATGGCAAATCAGGCCTAGTGGATTCCAGTTATCTAGCACTAGGTCCCCCAGTAGCGCCCTTTTTCTCCCTTTTTTTTTTGGGGGGGGGAGGGCTACTAGAAGACTCCAGGAAAAAGTTGGTACGCTTATTCTAACCTCTCAGATCTGGAGGACCTAGCAAACAGGTGGATTGGTTCGTGTTCAGGGTCAGGCATTTTTTTCCAAATCTGGAGGACCTAGAGCGGGTAAAAAGTCGCCATTTTGGCCTTTAGAGTCTGGCTCCCTGGGTTTCGCGCCAATGGGAGGCTTCCAAGCGGCCAGAAGAACCCAGGAGTTTGGTTTTCCGTTGCCGCAACGGAAGTTCCTGAGCTCAACACCAAAAAGCCAGCCGGACCTCCGGACATCCTGAAACCTCGGCAAATTTTTGCTGTACAAATCCTGCACCAGGTGGTAGGTACTTTCCCCCAGTGTTGAAGGTTCCATGCATCTCAGGGTAAAGCCCGGCAGGTTTTGTAGCGTTGAGCATTTTCAAGGAACCCCCCCAAATAGAATCATTTAGTACAGGCTTCAGACATCCCAACTGGTGACAAGGCGATGGTGAAGCTTGCCTCTCCCAGGACCTTTTCAGCCCCAACCCACAGGTTCTGTTCAGTACTATCACCTTGGTTTCAGAACATCGGGGTGAATTATAACGACCTCACATGACCGAATTCACCCCAAATGGTAGGTTTATGTGGGAAATAGCCCCCCAACCACCTTATCTCAGGCTGGTGAAATATTAGCATTCACCCAGATATAACATCGGGGCACACCGCAACCGGTTCAAATTTTGCCTTTTTTGGGCGGGGGGTCCCACCTGTCAGTACCGGCCCAGGTGCCGATCAGCTTTCCTTTGGCCATGGACCTCTCGCGCTTCCGCACCGAAGCTTCGCGGTTGGATCCCCAAACTCGGGACTCGGGGCGCGCCGGTTGCGCGCGTCGTAAAGGAATCTAGCCTAGGTCCCCCAGTAGTGCCCTTTTGCTTTTTTTTGGGGGAGGGTTCCGCTGCTAAACAGACTACAGAAAGAAGGGTTTCTTATTCTAACCTCTCTACTGGAGGACCTAGTAGCCGTTGGTTGGAAAGGAGCCAAGGAGTTGAGCGTATCCAGTTTCTCTTTAAGACAAGGAGCCTGAAGGGAGCTACCAGAAGGTCTGCAAGGAAAGGGTACGAATGGTCGGTTTGTTTTTCGCTTCGAGTGGGTGGAAAAGCTGGGAGGGCCCGTTTTGGCAAATGCTTTTTACGTTTTGGCAAATGCTTTTTATGAAGTTCCCCATGCTTTGGGAAGAATTTGAGGTGTTCCTCCCAGTTGCTTCCAGGGTTGGTGGCATTTTTTGTTAACAGACCCGATTCAGCCTCCCAACAAGGAGGGGATCCAAAAGACGGCAGTTCAACCAATACACGTGTCAGTTGTTTGTAGCAACAAGTGGCTTTGAGACTGGAACGTATTCTAGATAATGAACATGAACCGCCATGTTCGCATCGGGGGACTGGATTTTACCACTTAGCTGACTTTGCTTTTACAATCATCTGGAGGACACTCTTGTGACAAGTGACCCCTCGATTTGGGGCAAACCGAATACCGAGGTGATGGGGTGTGAGGGGAGCGAGCGCAATGTTACCAGCTTGTTATAGAAGCTGCAAACAGCTTTTGTCAGGAGATGTTATGGAGTAGCGCGCCGTTGCTCGGACAAGTTGGGGTGGATCAATTCCCCTTGGTGCCACAGGGACCGCTCCCTGTGCTCAAAATCGTCAGTCACGACTCACCTGATACATGAGGTTTGTTTCATGTTGTTTCCCTACGGGCGCTGGAGGGAGTTCCCTAGTGGGCCTATGCAAGATGGTTGAAGCGGCCCAAAAGCGGAGTTCCCCGAAAAACGAGACGGTACCCGGCCAAAAAAAGCAACACGCCTAGGTCCCCCCAGCTAGGTGCCCTTTCTCACCCCTTTTTTTGGTTGGGAGGGTTCCCCAACTAAAATCGACGTCCAGAAAAAGGGGGCACCCTTATTCTACTTACCTCTTAAAAACAAAACTTTTCAACTTTTTGGGTAACATGGGCTCTTTGTCTGTAACAGATTAACTTCCCCAGGGCTTGGAGTTTTAAGGGGTAAGTCTAACCTCTCTACTGGAGCACCTGGCAGCCTTGTTTGGAGGGCTTCGCCCGAGACCCTTGAGGCCATCCGAGTCGGCGGAGTCCAATGCGGAGTATCAGCTCATGGCCGCTTGAAGCAGCACGCCAACCTTTTGACCTGTTACACAGTTGTCCAAAGCGAATCGACCGGATCTGACCTTTTGGTTTCCAATTGTGGGTTCCCATTTTTAGTAGAAGTGCCAAAAGGTTAACCTTTTAGTTCTGGGTCCTTTGGGCAACTGAGGTTAGATTCCCCTTTTTGTTCCTTTCTTGCTTGTGGCCCCAAAAGGTGAAGCAAGGATTTTTGGTTCTTTGGGCAACCGAGACTTTCTGCGCGTGCTTCTTTCCTTTCAAATGATTGTGGCGCATTGGATGTGTTCTGCGATGGTGCAGTATTGATTGCCTTGTATTGTGTTTTTTTTGCGCGTGCTTGTGTTCTCGCTTTTTTGTTTGGGGCGGGGGGTACTGGGAGCCTTCAAAGTAAGCTGACACAAACTTGGGGCAAGTTAAGTTTTTTTGCCTGTGTATAGTTTCTTGGTTTGTTGTGTTGTCTTGCTGGGTCCTTGGGGGTTCTCTCAAGACATACCAGCCAAGAAGCGGTTTCCGTCAATATAAACCGACAAAAAAGAGAGAGCGTATTTTGTTATTCTGAGTTCTTGTTTCTTGCCAGTGTCCCTTTGAACAGAAACGACCAACTTCCTTGGGTTAGGGATGCAGTTCCCTCGACAATCCATCGCTTCAAGCCAACCAAACGGCTCAAAGGCAACATGGACATGCTTATCAACCTTGGGCCCACTTCGGGCCGCTGTGGTTGCTGGATGAAAAGCCATAGTTGCTGCTGAAGTAGCTAGGGTTTATACTGGTTTTTGAGGGTTCCTGGCCTCTGCTTCGATCCCCCCTTGGCATCCGGGTAAGGGCCACGATTCTTTTATAACTTTAGAGTCATCTTCCTTTGATGGAGGCCGGTTTTTTTGCTTTGGGCCATGTTTGGTCCTTTCCAGTGGGTATAAACATTCACCTTAGGTTCCGCCAAACCAGGTGGCCTGTCATGTTTTGAGAGGTCACAGGATGACTCGTACCTTGTTCTGCCGGCCTCGGAATTCTGGCCCGGTGGCTGCTTTGACCAGAACGGGTTGCTTGAGCCTCCCTCGCTTGTCTAAATGTCTGGACCGGGTTCCTGGCAGAGGGCCCCAAGTACGGATGCCAAAAAGAGTGAGACACTTGGTGCTGCCATCCTCAAAATGGAATCTGGGGGAGGGTAACTGAATTTATGCCATCCCTCACTTTCAAATTTTGCTGCCTCGACCAACGGAATTGGGGGACCCCTAGTCCCCCCCTCCCCCCCAGCTGTCTGTAATTCGGATTTCTTTAGGAGGGTGCCTTCCCCATTCTTTCCAGGGATCCTTCTTTCTAGAAAACCTCCGAAAGCCCGGGGAAAATTGCTGGTTTTTGAAAAGAACGATGGTTGAAAAAAATGGAAAAGGAATCAACCCCTAGAATTACTCACTTGCCCAAAGGACCCAGAAATTCAAGTTTAACCTTTTTTTGCCATATGTCAAAATGGACAAAAACTGGAAACCCCCCAAAAAATAAAAAAAAATCGGGGGCGAAGGCTTCGAGGGCCTCGAAGGCCTCGAAGGATTCGAAGCCGAGGCCACCATCACCCACTCGGGCACGGCCTGTCGGGGCCACTACATGGCCAGGGTCAGGTCCTGCCAGGATGGGCGTGGCTCGGAAGAAAATGGTCCGAGCTCCCCACGCGGCTCACTACTGTGAATGAACAAAATCCTCTTAGGCACTACCTAAAACATGGGTTCTGAGTTCCCTGCTTTCTACCAACAAACAATGGTGTCTCATGGTTGCTTAGGTGGTGCAGGATTTCGTCCATCCACAGTAGGTCCCCCAGTAGTGCCCTTTCTCACCCCTTTTTTTGGTTGGGAGGGTTCCCCTACTAAAATAGACTACAGAAAAAAAGGTACCCTTATTCTAACCTCTCTACTGGAGCACCTAGCAAATAGACGCCATACTGTGGACGAAATCCATTTCTCACCACTTTGAAGCCATGGTTGAAACCATTTGTTTGTTGGTATTGACAGGGGAATCATCATTCTAGGACTTTTTAGGTGGTGCAGGATTTCGTCCACCCACAGTAGGCGGATTGGTTTGTGTTCAGGGTCATTCATTTTTGCCAGAGTCCGCTATTCATGGGTGACCTTTTGAGGCTTTTTAGATCAGTTTGGTTGAAACTGGACAGCACTGGTTGAGGTTGGTTCCAATGCCATCTATTAATTTAAACCTATGGACAAATTAAACCTATGCCATCTTTCTGGAAAAATCGATGGTTCCAAAAAGAAATGTCCAGCGTTTTTTTTCTCCAAGAAGGACACATGACCTGCAGCCCCAAGCCATGAGCACAAGGATGGTTGAGTTTGTTGTTTACTTTACACGCGCATCCCATTTGCGTAAGGTGTGGTTAGAGTCCATTAATTATCATGGAAATTTGAGACATGACTTGGACACATGTTGTTGTTGCAGCTCAACAAAGGATGTGTCGGCCCTGTGCGGACTTCCCAATTTCGTCCATTCGTTTCATGAGAGCACAGACCTAGCTTAGTACCGTTGGCTCCTTTGCCGAAATTCGAGTTGTTCGTTTGGCAATTGGAACTAAACATCATCCTGTGGCCATCCTTTCAGTGGGGGTGTGGCTTTAATGGAAACATAGGAAGGCCCTGATCGATGCCTCTGTTGCATTTCCGAGTGAGTTTAGCATGGGAATATCCGGGTAAACCTATAAGTTGGTACAAATAACGATATCCAAACTGGTTTGTCGGTGTAACCAGCTCACTCCCTGAGTTCATGGACTTCACACTTTTGGGAAGATCATTTTGATGGTAAACAATCCACTGTTTTGTGGCCAATCCACTCAAGCGAGAAACAGTTTGTGCAAAGTCAGAACTATATTGTCCAACGCGCCCCTCATTGAACCTACCCGTAAATGTATCGTCTTCGGCGTTTTCGGCTCGGATCACACCTCCAATTCCAGTTTTATGTTTTTGGTTCATCGGCGACCCACCTTTCAACTAAGAGTCGTGTAGAAGGCCGGGTGATCTGTTGTTTTCTTGTTTGTTTGGCTTGGTTGGCTCGGTCGGTCTGTCATTGTTTCACCGTTTTGTGCTTTGCGTGCGGCTGTGCATGCGTCAGTTTGCGTTTCTTTGGCTCTTGTCTTACAAAAACAAACGCGCACGAACCACACGGGGGCGGCCGCTTGGGTGAACGGCCAGGCGAAAGACCGTAGTGGTTTTGTTGACCCGGCTCTGGCTTGGGGAGTGAAAGGGGCAGGGCGCAACCCCTACGGTTTTGGTCTTAAATCCCGAATGCTTAAACTAACGGAGGGGCGTCCCAACTTTGAAGAGGATGTGCGGTGATGGGGATGTCACCGTGATGGGGATGTGTTTGTTTTGAGAACCAGTGCCCGATTTCACCTTTCTTGACAAAAACTGAAAGGGACACTGGAGCCATTTTGGTGTCTTCACATTTTGACATACCCATTGGGCTCATGTTGCGAGGGAATATCTAGGCACCCCAGATGGAAACGGGGGCCATAGTGAACATATCTGGCTGCTTGGGGTCAATTGGCACTCAACTGGGGTGCTGGCAGGATAATTGTTGTACCTTACTGAGGTGACCAACACTCAAGCAACCAATATGCAACCAACTTAGGCATGTTTACTGTTCGATAAGTATGCACGTGTACACAAGTTTGCACACAACAAACAGTTACTAAAATGTATCCAGACATATGTCGACGTGAGTTTGTTGCATCACAAACGGCTTGAAACTTTAATTAGGAACCCCCTCTCAAATGTTTGGTGGACACCAATCCCCAGTTCAATGATGTCCACAAGAGGGTCCCTCATGAAAATTCACACCCAAGCATGTCGACGTGAGTTTGTATCACAGGGTCACAGGGTCTCATTTCGGTCATTCGCCTCGCCCAGATTCGCGCACGAGCTCAGGTTGGTACCTCTACAACGACGATGTGGTGTCGGAGATCTCTGCGGAGGAGCGCTTCGGAAGCCCCGTCTTAGGGGCTTTTTGCCTTGACCCCAAAAGGGGCTAAGGCCTTACTCAAATGGACATGTGTCAAAATAGGGGACCCGTAAACTTGGCGGTTTTCCGGTTGATATGCCTTTAAGCCAAGGTCAACAGGGTACCACAAACAGATATTCAAAGAGCTGCAGGAGGTGCAGGAAGATGTTCGCGGCACCTACGTGCTCTTCTACCTGCCGAGTCCTCAAGTTGGACTCCAGCTTTTTCCGAATCCAGCCAAATATTTTCTGTTCAAGGGCCGGGGTCCGGCCGGTGTCTTGTGGGCAACTAGAGTTGACGGTTTTCGCCAATCCTCTTAGCTTGATGGCTGTTTGGTCGGATCTGTGTTTTTCTTTTTGGGAAACACTGGATGTTCCGTTGGACCCACAAAGGGCTCAACAGCGACCAAGTTAGGAAGTTAATATTTTACTTTCAGGAAGTTATATTTCCGATGGTTTTCCATGGAATTGTCAGAGGTTCCACAAGTTGAACCTTGTCCAGGTCCTTGGCGCAAGTGAGTGCCGGAATTTGCCTCCGTGAGGGGCTGGCGTTGGCAATATTCAACTCTGTCAACGTTTGGAACCTTACGTTCCCGTTCCTTACTCAAGTCAGGATGTCAGACAGCAGGGCAGATTGCATGATTTCAGATGGCAGCCATCTGCATGATTTCGCAAGGTTTGACTGACTAAGTTCATTCTTTCTCAACCAGCTCTCTTTTTTCTTTCTTTCTTTGTTTTTTGTGGGGAGGAGGGGGCGGGGGGTCCCCGCAAAATCAACCTGCAAAATCAAACGATGAAAAGGGGGCCATGGCCTAAAGAAGCCGTGTGATGGTTCGGGGCCACACGGCAGCTGGGGCTCAAAATGCAGGGTTCAAAGCCGTTCCAGGCCGGGGATACCACTTCATACTTCCATTTGGTTAAGCACAATGTTTGATTTTTCCTTGTTGGTTTCAAGGAGAATTGATTTGACTACTGCAAATATTTTGTTTATTACTTTTCGAGGATCCTTACCCTTCCTCCCACTAACTTGGAGGTACCTGGAAGATTAATTTCCTTTTGAAGGGAGCCCCTGTCAGTTGCCATGTTAGTTGGAGGGAGGGTAACCAAATGGAATTGTAGTTTTCCCAGGCACAGAAGATGGCGGCCTTCCTCCTGGGACGCTGAGGGCCAAAGCGAGAAGTGGTCACCTTAACACGAGGGCGACCTTTACGGCACGAGGCCTTGGCTGTATCTCTGGGGGCATCGGACTCGCGACTGATTCACCGGTTTTTTGCATGTTTTGGGCTTTTTGGGACTCAACCACGGAAAGTTAGACTGATAGCAGGTGATCTGGGAACAGGGCAGGCTGTGCCATGTTTTGGCGGAGGGGTTTAATTGTGGACCACTCGGCTGATATTTCGCCGCTTTTGTGGGGCATTTGGCAGGTCAGGTGCCCTCCAGACATACAGCTGAGTTTCCGGACGGAGCTAAGGACTGAACATTCTGGACATGGAAGGGGATTCCTTCCCTGCCCAGTTGTGTTTGGTAGGGTTCTGGTTTGTCATCTAATTTCCACGAAACTTCTGATTTGGAAGCAATGACCTTCTCTGGGGCCTAGGACTAGCCTCTTTCCCACTAACATGGCACCTGACAAGGGGTCCATCCAAGACAAAACCAGTCTTCCAGGTACCCTGAAACAGGTGCCATGTTAGTGGGAGAAAAGGGTAGATATGGTTGAATAGATACTGTGGATGGACGAAATTCTGCACCACTTTGAAACCAACGGAAACCATTGTTCCTCAGTGTTTACAGGGGAATCATCAGACACGAGAGGGTTTCTGAACGGTGGTGCCTAAGAGGATTTTGCAACCCACAGTCGAGAGTTGTGAGTCAAACTGGGCGCTGGCCTGCGAGCCGAAGCATCGCAAAAGCATTTTCGGGCGCACAGCCTGGAGCTCAGGGTGAAACCGGGAGTATGTGGAAACGTTACTTCCATAGGTGTCCTTTTTGGTTGTTTTGGTAGAACATATAGATGGCGATTCCTGGTTTACCTGGTGGCTTAATCATCACCCAGGGGCCATCTATTTCCCCTAAAAGGACACCTACGGTTACTTCACTGTTCTTGGCTGTTCATTTTTAGCTACCATGCCAAGGGTTGTGAAGGTTAGTGAAATACTGGGCTAATGATTCATTCAGGCCGGAAGACCTGTTTTTTTTTGTTTTTGGCGTTTGGGGTGGTTAGTCCTAGGACTGGGGGCAGGAATCGGCGAGCTTGTCGATATTTACCAAAGTGGCAACCAACTGACAAGTAGTATTGGGCCCCCGGGGAACTGGTGCAAAGACCCAAATCATCCAAAGTCCAAAATATCTTATAGAGTCAACAGATTAATACGGTGCATGGACGAAATGCGAAATGGAACCGTGGTTGAAACCATTGCTTGTTGGCACTTACAGGGGCATCATTTTTAAAGGGTTTCCGGTTTCTTAGCAAATGGTGCAGGGTTTCGTCCATCCAGAGCCATTTCATGGCCATGACTGAATTTGGTTTTGGGTTTCAAGCACCCCACAACCTGATTCTGAGGAATTTGGCCCTACGAGCACCGTATGTTTTGACAGCTCGCATTGCAGTGAGCAAACCAGCTACAATGGACCAATTGCCAAGCTGGATGTGACCTTTCAGTGTTCCAAGTTGGATCCAGGTTTCCAAAGCTGGGATCTCTTGCCGTTTCGCTTTGGCATTTTAAGATTTACTGGAGATTAGGTATCCCTGGTTTAGAGATTTGAACCCCTGGTTCTTGTAGAGGGCAACTGGGGGACTCCTAAACAAACCATGTGGCGGGAAGCTGAGAATATGGGCCACAACAAAACATATCATGGGAGGATTCCAGATAGACAAACTGCTGGTGCCCAGTAGGGAATGACCCAATGAACCGGTTTTGGGTATTGCCTTAAAGGAACCCACCAGTTGGATTGTGCAAGTCGGGGTCATTCCATTTCTCGTTCCCTGCCTACAAGTCTCCTACAGCTTTGAGTAAGTTCCAATTCATTTTCTACCAGGGTCCCTTGTCGCACCAGCCCCCCCGGAAAAAGAAGGAAAAAACGCATTCAGTTTCTAGCTCCTAGCAAGCTTGAGAGCTGACGGTCCCGTCTCTGCGGAGCCTGGCATGGTTTCCGCAACGGCCTTGGACTCAACCCGACTTCGCTGGATGTGTTTTAATTATTTTGCGGGTGAAATGAGGTACTGCAGTCATGGAAGTGGACATGGGGCATCCCCAGCGTAAGGTGATTAAGTCTTCCAAAACCCTCCTGTTTGATGATTGGAGGAAGTGCAGCCCTCATTTGTTGCAGTTTCGATTGGCGGTTTGAATTTCAAGCCCTGGTTCTTGAGGGTAAATGAACCACCCAACCTCCAAACCACCCAAACTCCAAGCCAAATCAAGCCACCAAGTAGCAGGAAGCTGATCAAAGACCAACACTCAATTTTGAACAGCCCAGTTTACACTTCCTCAGACTAACATGGAAGCTCCCAGAAGGCCTCTGCAACTGGAACCAAGTCTTCTCAAGGGTCCTGGGAGCTTCCATGTTAGTCTGGGGGAGGGTATCGCTCGAAAGCAGTTAAAACCGGCATTTCCGGAGCGGGCGCTGTGGCGACCCCTAGAGTTGCGCAGTTGGCGTTCAACGATCATAGGCCGCGAACACGGGCAGAGTCCAAGCTATGCCTACCGATTGCGCAAGTACATGCGCATCATGATGCTTGCTTAAGCAGTCAGCAGATTTGCATTGTTCTTGGTATGGGTGTTGTGCTTCTTGACAGTTTCTCGCCGGGAAATTTCTGGCACCCCTCCCTCACGATATAGCACTACAGGTTGGAACAATGTCGGAGGTTTCCCTCTAAAGTGGTCATGGATTCCTTTTTGGCTTTTCAGCTTCGTCTACTTCGAGTCAATGTTCCATTGCTGTTCTGTGGGCATGTGTCAAAGCAGGATCCCCCAAAATGTGGCTCTTGCTTTCTTGAAACAAACACAAATCCATGTGAGGACCCGCGTGAGGTTTCGGGGTGTGGGAAATTCCTGATGTTTCCCGCTCCTCAATGCCTACGAGCGCTGCCGCGCTGCTCGCTGCATGCTCCGGGCCTCGCTTGTGGACGAGAAAAGGCCCGCCCTCGGCTGGTCCTTCATGAAACTGCTGCCAACCAACCACCCCCTCCAAACACACCACCCCCCCAAACACGTCTTGGTTTTTCCCACGAAGTTGGCTTTCGCCCCATGTAGCAGGTGGTGAAGATTGGAAACCCAGCAGCCCAGCATTCAGAAGCTGGCTAGTGAATGAGGATTGCAACAGGGAATCCTCCAGTTCTTGGAGAAGCAATCCTCATATGTGTCATATCTACCCCCCCCCTCCTTCTAACCCCCACCCTCCCATTCTTCCTCCCCAAAAAAAAAGCAGACCCACATGAGGCCTTCATATCTAACCCCCCCTCCTTCTAACCCGCACCCTCCATCACCCTCCCATTCTTCCTTCCAAAAAAAAGAGAACCGACCCCACATGAGGCCAAGCCTCCGGTTTCGAGAGGGACCCTACTTGGAGTCCATTTTTCTGTTGGTTCGATTGGGGAACTGCAGCGGTTTTTTTTTCTCCAGATGCGGCTGTGGTTGTCAAAACCGTTTTGGTACCAACAATTTTTGGGTAGGTGCACCACCCATTTTAGTCTTTTGCTAGTGGGGATCCGGGCTTTTGACCCATGGCCATATGTTGATTCCTAGCAAGCCTCTTGCTAATCCGTTGCCCAGAATATTTTAATGTCACTTCCTGGATGTCCTCCATTTCCCTTTTTGGCACCTCCAAAAAATGCGTTTTCAATGGACGCCACTGGCGCATTGCAATTTTTGACGGGGAAATCCAGTGACTGCCTCGAAAAGGCAACCATTTGGGACACATGTTTTGTTGTTTGGGGGGGTGTTGGTTTAGAGTTGTCCTATTTTGAACTTTAAGAAGCCAATTGTTATTTAGGGTGCCTTCAGTAGGAGAGAACAGACTATACTGCTCAGCAGTG